GGGTTATAGGGATTAATTGTTGTTTTATACATATAAAGTTGGCAAGAACCCCTACATACAATTACGTGTTCGGGTTACTGATAGAGGATTGGTATAACATTGTTACAACATTTTGGAGAAGTTGTAATATAGGGGAATTTAATCTCAATCTACTTTGACACTTGGATTCTCTATTCTTGAGTGCATTCTTACTTCACTTTTAACTCAGTTTAATAATTAGCCAGTAGTTAGTCTTTATAGTTTTTAAACTCATAAAATATCCATAAAAAGTATTGCTTTTATTGCTTCACATTGATATCAACTTTATAGCTTTCTCTGTGGGAACATTATCTAGACTCACATATCTCATATTACTTGTTGACAACATGCACTTGTGTTAAGGTGTGATTGTTATAAAAGTTGCAAAAATGCACAACAACATTCAAATGACATGCATTTAAATATTATATGCATTAGGAACATATAATCCCAGCATATAATTTTTAGTCTCATCTAATACCTCTTTCAATAATTCTTCCTTGGGTAGGGCTATACTCTCTTGATATTTTTAGTCCATCATTTTGGCAAATCCTTTGGCGGATCCTAATAAGTCCTCTTTTTGAGCTTTTCCAATTTTATTGATCAACTTAGTATCTATCCTTATCTCACTAACACCTAGACTTCAAGGTAACATTGTTTCTAATAATCTCATGTCTCTAAATTTTTCTATTAACTTCATTTTCTTGACCATTAAATGTGACAAGTGTAACGATTTTTTGCTTAAACGTCTTACATTTCATTTGCTTTTTTTGGGTGATATCTAAGATCAAAGTAATAGCCTTTTAAGAATTTCATCCATCTTCTATGTCTTGTGTTTAGTTCTTTTTTATCAATTAAATACCTAAGGCTTTTGAGGTCACTAAAAACTCAAATTTAGCTCCATACAAATGATATCTCCAAATCTTAAGGGAAAAGATTATAGTTGCAAGTTCTAAGTTATGGGTTGGGTAATTTTCCTATGAGGTCTCAGCTGCCTAGATGCATAGGCTATTGCTTTTTTATCTTGCATTAACACACAACTCAATCCTTTCTTAGATGCGTCACTTTACACTTCAGAATTTCCTAATAGGTCGGGGATTATTAGGACAGGGGTAGTTGTTAACCTTTTCTTTAAGTCCTGAAAATTGTTCTCACATTTTTGGATCCAAACAAAAACAATTGCCTTTCTAGTCAGCCTAATTAAGGATAGTACTAACTAGGAGAATCTTTTTTTAAACCTTGTATAATATTCTGCTAGTCCAAGAAAACTTCTTATCTCTTTAATAGTCTTTAGCCTCTCCCAATGTGTCACAACCTAGGTTTTACTAAGATCAAAAGACACTCTTTTCTCCAAAATCACACAACTTCTGAACTGAACCTCTTTCATCCAAAATTCACACTGTTCAAGCTTAGCAAATAGTTGTTTGTCCCTTAACACTTGTAAGACTATGCTAATTCTCTTATTGTTCCTTCTCATTTTTTGAATATATCAAGATAACATCTATGAATACTGCCATAAATTGGTCCAGATAAAACCCAAAAATCCTATTTATGTAATCAATAAATATAGTTTGGGCATTAGTAAGTCCAAATGGTATCACTAAATACTCATAATGCCCATATTTGGTCTTAGAAGATGTATTAGGAATATCTCTGCCTTAATCCTATTCTAGTAGTATCCTATCCTTGGGGATATTGCAAAAAACATTATGGTTTTTCTCAATCGGTCTAATAGCTCATCTATCATAGGTTGGGGATATTTATTCTTGATGGTGACTTTACTTAGTTGCCTATAATCAATATACAACCTTATGCTTCCATCATTTTTCTTGACGAAGAGCACTACAGCTTCCCAAGATGACACAATAGGTCTGATGAAATTTTTGAACAAAAGTTTCTCTATTTGTTTCTTTAACTCATTAGGTTCAAGAGGAGACATCCTATAAGGTGCTACAGATATGGGACCTACTCCATGTACTAAGTTAATGGAGAATCAATTTCCCTTTCCTAGGGGTAAACAAGGAGTTTCATTCATAAAGACCTCTGAGTATTCACTGACTACATAGATACTAGGCACCTTAGGCTTCTTTGCTTTTGAGTGACTATGGAGAACATAGCCTTAAAAGGATTCTAACAAGCACCTTTTGGGTTGTGTAGTTGATAGGTATAAGGATTGATTGGAAGGTTTATGTTCCTTGGGGAAAAGAATATTTCTGTTACAATAGTCAATGTTTACATGTTAACAAATAGCCAATCCATGCTTAAAATTATGCTTGTTTCTAATATAGGTAGGCACACTAAAGAATGTTTTCTTGATGGTGGTTGAAGATTGTTGAAGAGACTCCTCTATGTTTTGATGGGCAAGAGGTGATAGTGTATCTACAAGAACTCCGATACTCAAGTTAATAAACGAGTGAGGCGGAGCATGCAAATAGAAGGAATGTGCTACCTAAAGGTAAATACCTTGTATATAAGGATTGAAGATTTAGGGTTTGTATTTTGGCTACATTATTAGAAATGCCTAGAAAATGAAAAACGTAAAACAAACCAAAACTTGCAAATAACGCAAAAAGAAGAATTTAAAGCAAACTCTGCATCAACGTGGGGCGCGAAGTCGAAGGATTTCCAAACGGTTAAGTCACCAGGGACAAAAAGGTAACACCACCTCACACACATTAAATGTGTGTAATCATCACATACACGGGGACAAAGAGGCTCACTGCCCACGGCGCATGAACCCCTAATTGTTGCAAGACACGTGGAGCTCATAACCGTCAAAATAAGGCAAAAGGTCACGTGAAAATGACAAAAGTTAGACACGATCTTATCCATGATATGATGGTCGAGGTGCGTATCGCGGTCAAACACGACGGAAGAGGCATTACCAAATGCGAAAATTCAGAAATCGTCCACAAAGGACACACAATGTCGCCGACATAATATATGTCGGCGACATAATATATGTCGGCCCCAGCAAGGCCGAGATGGCATGTAAAACACCCCGACATTCCGAGCTTCAGAATACCGAGCTGATGGGCAACTGTTATGGATATATATCATATCCTAACTATCCACTTAACAAACCATAAAAGGATAGATACTCAATTATCCTAACAATATCAAACAACCAAGATACTCAGGATACAATCCTTATCTCAACAGCAAGGAAGTCGAATTCTACTGCAACTGAGAGATCTTCACAAACCCTAGAGGTAACTCTTATAAATAAGAGGCTAAATACCCCAGGTATATACTTTGAACCTATTTACTATTACCGCCAACACTGTGCACACACCCACGTTTTGGCTATAAACCTATTGCTTGTGCGCAGTGATTGGGACATTGGCTATAAACTTAGTATATACTTGATTATACAGTATCTCTGAGTACATACCATACGGTATAACAATACGGTCTTTCCAGGACCAAATAATTTCCAACCCTAGTCTTTTAAAGGCTTGTTGAATATCAATCCTTATACATGAAATATAATTTTATAAAATTCACTCATCACGACAAATCATGAAATATAGGGCTTTCTCCATGGAATCCAGTTCCACATATTGGGTTCTAACACTTATTCATTTGTCAAGTGTTTTTAACGAATATTGTGGTAATTTTTATTCTAAAAGCTATTTAAGATAATGAATTTCAAGCTTCAAGAAAGATCTTTTACCCGAACCGTAAAACTTTAACTGTTCCGCATATTATTTTAATTTTTTTTCATCCAAATACATGATATAAGTCAAACAAAACTTTATATTTTCTGGAAAAAATAATTTTCTTTTGAAACATGAATATTTAATATTCTTGTAATATTAAAGACTCGGTACCTTCTTTACTAAAATTTAAAAAAAAAATATATTTGATTTAACCGATTCTACTCACTCTCCCGTGATTAATTAAGTGACATTTTTGCAAAAATGTCACTTAAATCTATTTTTTTTCTATTTGCAGTAAAAAACATGCGTATGTTCTGAATGACGTCATACAAGGGAATGCGTTTATTTCTTGTTCTAGAAATTACAAATATCGTTGCCTTTCCGTGAGGGGAAGTAAGACGACGGGAAAGAACAAACAAATCAGTTTTATTTTAAACTGATAGGTCCCACGCAGGATCAAACTTTCGATACCACCGTCCTTCGTACTTTCTTTCTTAAATTAAAAAATAATTAGGATATAAAAAAAAATAAGTAAAAAGCAAGGGATTAAAATGGAAAATAAATTTCATCTTTGAGTAAAAAGACCCATCCAACACAGTACAACGGTGGTATTTAAAAAATTTCCCCCATGCAGACATCAGCAGACTATAATATCACTGTAATAAACGCTTTACAAGAGTTTATGCGTTTAGGTTAGACTTGTCTTATTATAAATAGTCAAATAGAATAGACTTAAGATTTTAAAAAAATTATTTAGAAAATAAATTATAATTTTTTTTTACATATCAGACGTATAAACCTACAGATCAGGATATATCATATTATTTATATTAAATAAAATTATTATTTTAATAATTTTGAATAATAAAATAATATTATTTTAATTATTTTTTAATTATTAAATGTATAATAGGATTAAACAAACTAAAGATCACAACTTATATTTTTTAAAAAGTTTGGTGTTTGTCATTTTTTTGTAATAAAGTGGTGTTTGTCATTTTAAATGATATAAGTTATATCATTTTAGAAGAGAAATAGACACAAAAAATAAAAATTATGGGAGAGAAAAAATGGGTGGTTTTTTAATTTAAATTTTAAAAAAAAATTATTTTATGTCTATTTTTCTCTTAAAATGACATAACTTTATATCATTTAAAATGAAAAATATTTTTTTTTTTTAATATAGATAAAGCCATAACAATCATAAGAATTTCTACACAAATATAATCTATTTAAATTAAAACATAATCTAGTCTGACGCACTGAATACCGCACACTTGAAATCTTTGAATTTTAAAGTTCAAAGTTCAAACAAAGGCTGCTTTCTCGTTAACAAAGCAGATAAGAAAACGACAAAGTTCAAACAACGAACTTGTCCAAAGACGCGCAAAATCTCTCTGTCTCGCTCTCTCTCTTACTCCTTCTTTTCCGATTTTCTCTCTCTAGAACTCTATCCCCCCCCCCCCCCCCCCTCTCTCTCTCTGTCTGCGAATATCTAGGGTTTCCGAATCCATAGTAGCAGCTGAAGATCATCATCCTCAAGATGACGACGATGGAGAGCTTGATCGGGTTGGTTAACAGAATCCAGCAAGCTTGCACGGTGCTCGGTGACTATGGCGGTGCCGACAACAACTCCTTCCTTTCTCTCTGGGAAGCTCTCCCTTCCGTCGCCGTCGTCGGTGGCCAGGTTAACATCATCATCGTCATCCATTCTCTGAAGCATAAACAATTCGTTTTCGTTTCTCTTATTATTATTATTATTATTTTTTGGTTATTTGTTTATTTATTTATTGAAATAAGAACAGAGTTCCGGTAAGTCTTCGGTTTTAGAGAGCATCGTTGGACGTGACTTTCTGCCTAGAGGATCAGGTTCGCTATTTTTTTATTTTATTTTATTTGTTTGGAGTATGTTATTTACTTTTTGCTTACGTTTTGGGTTTTGTTGTATGTGAAGAAAACCGAGAAAATGCGGGAAATGAGATTGGAGATGTTGAGAGTATCTGAACTGTGTTCATTAATTCAAAACTGATACAGAGGACAACTATTTATAACAAATAACAGAACTGCATGATAAGAGACAGTAAATACCCTTTTTGGTCCTCAGTAAATTTCACGATGCCCGCTTTAGTCCCTAGCAAATAAAAAGGTCCATCGTGGTCCCTAAGAAATTCAAAATGGACCCATTTTAGTCCTTTTAGTGACTAATATGGGTCTTTTTTGAAGTTGTGAGGAACCACGATTTCAACTAAATGGGTCCATTTTGAATTTTTTAGGGTTTTTATTTGCTAGGGACTAAAACGGATATCGTGAAATTTGCTGAGGACAAAAAGGGTATTTACTCTGATAACAGATAACAGAATCAGAAACTGAATAACAACTTATAACTAACTCAACGGAATCAGTTGGACTCTGGTCCCTGTCTGTTACTCACAGTAAATGCGCAACACATGGGAGTATCTCTTACTGTGTGAATGAACGAGTTGAATTTGGATTTTGAATTGCAGGGATTGTGACGAGGCGTCCATTGGTGTTGCAGCTTCATAAGATTGAAGGGGAAGCAGAGGAGCATGCTGAGTTTCTTCACATGCCAAGGAGAAAGATAACTGATTTTGGTAATGTAGTGTAGTAACCAGCAATTTCTGTGTCAGCATTATGTATTTAACAGTTTACTTGTTGGTGCATTTTGATAAGTTGAGACTTGTATTGTAAATTTCATATTCGCTAATTATATGAATAGTATGGTCTTTTGTTTCCCTTGTTTCTGAGTTGGTTTTCCTTTTGCAGCCGTAGTCCGCAAGGAAATTCAGGATGAAACTGATAGGGTAACGGGAAGGACAAAACAAATATCTCCTGTTCCAATTCATCTTAGCATTTATTCTCCACATGGTGCGCTTCGATTGTTATTGTCTCTTACTTTCAGAAATCTTTAATTGATTGTTTGCTGTAAACTCATGTTTTACACTTTCGAAAGTTTATTTTTGATTTAAAAGAAAATTATTATTAAAATAGATAAAAAAATTACAAAACAGAGGCAATAGTTTTCTCCTACTGTATTGAAAGAAAACAGAGTGCAATAGCCCAAATAGTGTGCTGGTCAATATAACAATTCCTTACAATCTGTTTGCTTGGCTGAGTAGTTAGCTCCCTCACCACAATCATTGGCTGAACACCGAAAGAAGTTCAATAATCCCATTCTTCAAAATGAAAGATGCAAAATCTTCTGCTTGAAAAAAAATTCTTGATTATGTTCCATCCAAATACACTCTAAATCTGCTTCTCAAAATCCCCTCCCCGAAGTTGTCTGTGCACAGAAAGAAAATCTTCCTTGTTTGTTGGACAAACCCAAGGATTGTTCAAAAGTCCAAAGACCCTACTCCAATAAACTAATAAAATATACGACAAGACATAAAGAGCTAATGCTGTAAGGAGCCTTTATACTCAATCAAGTTATTACTCATTACTCATAATTATTAGTTGAATTAATTACTACGATACAAATGTACTTAAGTCCTAAGCCACGTTCAAGGTACCTAAAATATACAAATGTACTTCAGTGCATTTAAGTAGAATCACCCTAACAGTATCACTTCAGAATTTTTACATCAAGTTCATGCTTCAACACTCATGAAGAATTAGGCTAGTAAGCAATGACTTTAAGCATAGCCTAACTATTTTCCTCCATGCTTATTCAATTTCTTTGTTTCTTGAGCAGTTGTCAACCTAACTTTGATTGATTTACCGGGGTTGACTAAAGTTGCTGTAGGTAAGATTTGCATTCAATTACTAAATGCAAATAATTTTATTTTGGATAATGTGATGCTCCTTTTTAGTTTGTAGTGATTAACAACTATGTCTGTTTCAGAGGGACAGCCCGACAGTGTTGTTCAAGACATTGAAGATATGGTCCGATCTTATATTGAGAAGGTTATTTTCCTTGCTCTTCCAGTTTAATAATTTGATTGGATGATGCATCATAGTTTCATTCAATATTGCATTGGGGTTCCAATTATAAACTGCCTATAATCCAAACAAAATTCCTTTCTGTTTCTGTCGTCGGTAGGTACCATTTTATTACCTTGTTAGGTTTTTACTCTTAATAAATTAGTTAGCAAGTGACGCCATCAAGTACATATTTGCTATAACCAATACTTTATGCTTTTAACAGCCTAATTGTATCATATTAGCAATATCTCCGGCCAACCAAGACATAGCAACTTCTGATGCTATTAAAATTTCTAGGGAAGTGGATCCCTCAGGTATTTAAATGTTTGGTGGAATGATCACTTGTTAGTTATTGCCTTTGCATGTCACTGTTTTGTCACTAAAATCCTTGTCTGTAATCTGTCCAGGTGAGAGGACATTCGGAGTCTTGACAAAGCTGGATTTGATGGACAAAGGAACTAATGCATTGGATGTAATCTCTCTCTCTCTCTCTCTCATGTTCCTTGCCCCACAGTAGTTATGAGATATATCCCTTTCAAGTTCTTAAAGTTTGAACAGTGCCTGTAAAACTGTATAATGAGTTTTTCCTCTTATCCTTTTTTCCCCCTTAAGGTCCTTGAAGGAAGATCTTATCGTCTGCAACATCCTTGGGTTGGTGTAGTAAATCGATCCCAAGCAGATATCAATAAAATGGTTGATATGATTGTTGCTAGACGCAAGGAGCGTGAATATTTTGCAACCAGTCCTGACTATGGGCACTTAGCCAATAAAATGGGTTCGGAATACCTTGCAAAACTTCTTTCACAGGTTTGCTTGTTAAAACATTGTTCTTAACCCTTTTTTTATGAGATAGGGTGTCATTTGAATCGTGTTAGATTATTTTGTAGCACTTGGAGTCAGTAATTAGGGCACGGATACCTAGTATAACATCTTTGATAAACAAAACCATCGAAGAACTTGAGTCAGAGATGGATCATCTTGGGAGACCAATTGCTGTTGATGCTGGGGTGAGTGATTTACATTTGTGATTATTTCATGAAAGAGTAAAATCTTTCTATGATATCCTTCTGAAGAATATTTCAACTATATTTTTTGTTTTAGGCTCAACTATACACCATCCTAGAACTTTGCCGCGCATTTGATCGGATATTCAAGGAGCATTTAGATGGAGGGTAAATATATGCTCTCATGTTCGACTTTTACTCTATTATACTTGCTTATTTGAAAAATTTTGGTTGGACAGCATCTTGTGATTGTAACTCGACTGCTCTCACTTCTCAATCCATCCTTAGGGGATTGATAGATAGTTATATCAAATTTGATATTTGACTTTTTTCTTAAGTACAATCGTCAGTCATAAATAAGATTTGATGTTTAAACGGTGCTCTATTTGTTTTGAACTAGCTAAGTACGACTTTAAAATGTACCACCTGAATATGGTTAAGCAGTTTGGAATCATTGTCATGAAGTTAGCTTGTTATCTGATGGACAAGTTGACAAGTCTCTTTGGTTACATAATCTCCCTCTTGTTTATTGTCACAGGCGGCCAGGAGGAGATAGGATATATAATGTCTTTGACAATCAGCTTCCTGCTGCTTTACGGAAGCTTCCATTTGACCGACATCTTTCTCTTCAGAATGTAAAGAAAGTGGTGTCAGAGGCAGATGGTTACCAGCCTCACTTAATTGCCCCAGAGCAAGGTTACCGGCGCCTGATTGAGGGGTCTCTTAGTTACTTTAGAGGCCCAGCTGAAGCTTCAGTTGATGCAGTAAGCACTCCTGGTTGTATTCTTTTTTCTTATTTTAAAGAAGCTAACATTAATAAAAGAATTAAGCTGGATTTGTATGATTTGGATGTAGGTTCACCTTGTCTTAAAAGAACTTGTGAGGAAATCAATAGCTGAAACTCAGGTAAAACTTGGAGATTTGATTTTTTAGTAACCCTGTTTGTGGAGTACTAGAATGGTCAAGAAGCTGTAATTTGTGACTGAATAGGAACTGAAACGTTTCCCGACTCTTCAAGCCGAAATAGCTGCAGCTACAAGTGAGTCTTTAGAGAGGTTTCGTGAAGAGAGTAAGAAGACAACTGTTCGGCTTGTGGATATGGAATCATCGTATCTCACAGTGGAGTTCTTCCGGAGACTTCCTCAAGAAGTGGAGAAAGCTGGAAATCCAGCTAATCCAGCTCCCTCAAATGTGGATCGGTATGGAGAGGGGCATTTCAGGAGAATTGGATCAAATGTGTCATCCTATATAGGTATGGTATCAGACACTCTCAGGAACACGATTCCAAAGGCTGTGGTCTATTGTCAAGTTCGAGAAGCAAAACAGTCATTGCTAAACCATTTCTACACACAAATAGGGAAGAAAGAGGTACACTCTCTCAACTCTCGCTTTCAATAAAAACTCATATCACTTCCCTATCTTTGCAATTGCAATTTTGGATTTATCTTTAACGTCCACCCTTTTCGGTAACAAAAATAACATACTTCTTTTGGAGTGGTGGAATACTCTTGGAAACAATCAATTTAAATAAGTCTTTTCTACACGGTACGGGCTCAGTGTCTTTACCATGGAAAGATAATAGTTCCTTGTGTTTGCATTAGATTTACCTCCAAAGTGATGTCCTAGGGGTGATTATGTAATTTTTATTAATATAAACTATAATAAATGCTTAGAAATCATTTTATTTAAATGAATAACCATAATATCTTTGTATCTTTCATTTGGGTTCATCTACCACCGACCCCAATTAATTTGGGATAAAGGTGTTGTTGATGTTGATGTTGAATAACCATAATATCTGCCTAATCATTTTGTTGAATCCCATGCTAAGCTCTATGATTACATAAATCAGACACAAGTATAAATATAAATTTTGTCTACCAAGGTAAGAGGTTGAGTCAGACATGAAGAGAATGGATAACTGAACCACCAAAATTTTATTGCTTATAATGGTGCCTGATTCACCAAATAAAATATCTTTGAATTGTTAAGTACATAGGATGAAATCTCAATTTTGCCTGGGATGATATGTTTTATTAAGAACGGGGCAGATCAGCCATTTTTTCTATCAGCCTATGTTTTATCGTAGAAAGAGAAATGTTATTTGTGTTGTTTACAGAATAAAAGGGCAACAGCACTACCTTTTGTGACAAGGCTCCCCTTCTAAAAGCCAATTTAGTGTTATAAAGGCAAATTTTATTTGTATTTGATTAAAAAAAATGCTTTAACAAAATTAATTATGGTAATTACCTTTCATCTGTGTATTTGGAATAGGGGAGTTTATCACATGCAAGAGCAAAAGGCATTTTCTGTATAGTTTTTAGTTGTGGCATTAATTAGCAGTAGTTCATTCCATCCTTACTGCATCAATAACTCAAGCGGCTGTCTATGGAAACATGGAATGTGTTTTATTTGTTCAAGATTATGCATGTTGTACAATACTTGTTTTAGTTGTTTTGACTCGAGTATATACTTGATAAGATTTCATTTGCTATTGATGTTCGTGCAGGCTAAACAGCTGTCACAGTTGTTAGATGAAGACCCTGCCTTGATGGAGAGGAGACAACAATGTGCTAAAAGGCTTGAACTGTATAAAGCAGCAAGGGATGAAATTGATTCTGTTTCTTGGACACGATGATGATCTTGGTTGCTATTTGACTGTATTCAACGCTTGTATAGATAGCGATTGCTTTTGGGTTGGCTAGACCCACATATGATTTTTTTATGTAGTTTCTATTAGTTTATTGTTCAGCCATTTTATATTCCTTTCTTGGTTGTAGGATAACGTTGGCGTTGATTATTTGTTTTTAGTCAGATGGGGGGCATGTAAATCAACACAGACTTTGCTTATTTTTTATGGATTACATGCTTGCAATGTGTTTGTTCTGAGTTTGAATATTGGACAACAGTTAAAATATATGTTGTAACGAAACTGATATGGGACACGACATGATGACATGATATTTCAATACATTAATTCTAAAAAAATAGATTTCGACACGTTAGTATATGTTTTAATATTAAATAATATTTTTAATTTATATAATATATTTTATATTTATTATTTAATAATTTAATAAAAAAATAAAGTTAAACTTATAATACTGATCAATTTTGCAAAGAAAAATATAAAAATTTTTTTTTGTAAAAAAATATAAGATATCACAAATATTTATATTAAACTCAATAAAATAGTAATCGTAATAAGATGAATTTAATAGTTAGAACTAAAAATGCAACACAACCTTTGAACCTTTTTTTGAGTTTCTGTAACTCGTGTTGAAGTGTCGGAGAATGTTGAAGTGTCGATGCATCATAGGTTAAAACTAATATTTCATGTTATCAAAAAAAAAAAAAAAAAACTAATATTTCATTCATCTATTTAAATTGAATGAGATTTTACAATATATAACAAAGGCAAAAGTTTAAAAAAGGAAAAAACAACAAAAGCTACATGGGCCAAGGGCCATTACACTAAGTTACAAGACTTCCCACACTCCTCCTCAAGTTGGGAGATAAACATTGATCATTTCCAACTTTTCTATTAAGTTATCAAAATTTGATCTGTGTAGACTCTTAGTAAGAATGTCTGCAATTTGCTTTTTGGTAGGGATATATGACATACACACACTCCTATCATCCAATTTCTCCTTGATAAAGTGCCGATCAATCTCCACATGTTTTGTTCTGTCATGATGAATATGATTTTGAGCAATACTAACTGTTGCCTTGTTATCACAATACAACCTCAACAGTAACGAATAAAAGATCTTCAGTTCATCTAGGAGTCTTTTTAACCAGACTCCCTTACAAACTCCATGAGTTAGTGCTCGAAATTTAGTTTCAACGCTACTCTGTGCAACCAATGTTTGCTTCTTACTTCTCCAAGTTACTAAGTTTCCCCACACATAGATGCAATAGCCTGATGTTAACTTTTTGTCTACCGATGAATCTGCCCAATTCGCACTAGTGTAGACTTCAAAAATCCTATTATACCCTTTTTTGAAGAATAATTTCATTTAAACTCCATAAGACTTAATTAATTATTATTATATGAGAGGTGGTGAGAATCGAACCTATGACACCTAGGCTCTGATACCATGTTAAAACTGAATGTTTCATTCATCTATTCAAAAGGAATGAGATTTTACAATATATAACAAAGAAAAAAGTGTAAAAAAGGAAACAACAACAAAACAAAAGCTACATAGGCTAAGTCCCATTACACTAAGTTACAAGAATTCCCATAGATACACATCACAACCCAATGAATATGTAATCTCCTATTGTTATTTCTAGGATTTTTATCATTTTTATGATCTCTGCTAACATCCTCTCCATGATCCTTGGTAATTGATGATCGTCCTTATATAAGCACTGCCTTGAGGTAAGCACATTCTCCCATTTGTATATTTTTCTTCAATCACTTATTGACTTGAGAGTTAGAATACTTGTAGGTGCATCACCCCATTATCTATCAGAGCGCATGAAGGAACCATTTTCGATAGTCATCCACCACCATCAAGAAGACTAAGAAACAACATTTCAATTGGTTCTGGCTGGTAATTCCTTTTAAACGTTGGCATTGTATGCGAAAAACATAAAGACTTTAAATTCCACTTCCCAATATTGTAATCACAAGGAGGATGAATGCAAACAGAATATAGATCTAAGACCCCTTAAGAGATGGGGAAGAAACATCAATCACCCCCAAATGGAAATGATTTAAACACACAACCTTAACAAATTATTGATTTATAGGGGATCGCCTTGGCAGAAGACGAGGGAGAAAACGATGGACAAATGATATTTAGGAAGTCTCTAGGAACCTAACACTCCAAGAGATCCTTAACAAAGCCTTCATCGTTGACTAAAATGCCACTGTTCATCAAGTTTTTTACCCAAATGCCACGCGAACAGTGTTATTTTCCAATATGCCCACGTGGCATATTGGGAAATAATACTGTTCGTGTGTGGCATTTGGGTAAAAAACTCGATGAACAGTGACATTTTGATCACTGTTCCTCATCGTTGCTCACAATGAGCTCGAACTCCAGGAGCAAGGCTGAGGTGCAAATCCAATTGGGGCATCCATGTTAACTAGGAAGCTTAGCTATCTATTCATAGAGAGGGTCATGGTGGCCCTTATTCCAAGGGATTCAAGCATCCCAACAATGTGGAACTATACGGTAAAGAAGGCAAACAAATTTATTTATTGTAATTTAATTAAATAATTACGCATTTATTGCAGTTTGAGAAGTATTTACAGATCTATTGCATAATGTGACGCCTTTTTTGGGCGTCACATGTGACGCCTCATTTAGGCGTCTCTCAGGGAAGACGCCCCAATGGGGGCGTCTCTCATGTTGACACGTGTCATTTCTCTCTCCAAAAATAATAATAATTTAATCATAAAACTTCTAAAGGCCATAACTTTTGACTCGGGTATCCAATTCATGTAATTCTTTTTTTGATTCCACATAACTTTTCGAGATCTACGTAATGACATCTCATTTGATATATTTTATTTCTCACAAACATAATTTAAATTTGCAAGAATGATACTATACGAGCGTTTAAACCTATACTTTCTCCTTGATTTTGAAATAGAATGCACTATAGTGATTCTCATCTCTACATCTCAACTTGGTCAATAACTGACACGACTTGTCTGTGAATTTTTTGCTAACGCTTCATTGTGGTAAGGCCCAACCAAGTTTTCGTTGTGCTTCATTACCTGTAAGGCCTAGCCGGGACTTGCCCATACTTTGTCCAGAGTCAGAGAGAAAAGATGAGTCCCTCTAGGATTACCAAACTCTGTTCAACAACGAATCACAATTAGTTAAAGACCTAGAACCCAAGGTGGCACTTCATGTGTGGGCAGTTTGCAACCTGGACGTTTACCATGTCTATGGCTAAGAGGGAAATTTAGATCATGAAGAAGCTACATGCTAGGTTCCAAAAATTGTATCAAATTAGAGGGCTTTAAAAAAATCCAGGAAAAGGTCTCGAGTAGTGATAAGTGTCAAAGATATTATGTTTTTAATATCAAAATTAGTTTAAATAATGATTAATATGATTAAGAAAATAGTGTTAATTAACAAATCCCAAAGATATTAATATTCCAACAAATATATAAGATTTTGATATCTTTTCATACTGTTTCAGACTTAAAGTAAAAAATCACCAATTCTGATGGGCAAAGGCATTTGCAATGATTAAGATCAAGAAAATAAAAAATTAATAAAAATTAATTTTTGCTCGCTTGAAAGAGCAAGTCCAGCGAGAACTCTCTTCTGTGTCGTTCAACCCTCGCTCTGCAACTCGCTTCTACGAGTAATGCAAGCGAGGAATTAAAATATGTTCGCTGAGCAACTCGCTTCAGCGAGCAAATCCAAACTTAAAAAGCCCAGTTTATTTCTTTAAAAGCACATGTTAAGGCTCATTCTGAGGGTATTCAGAAGACGGCAGAGATTCTCGGACGAAGGCTGAGATTGAAGAGGAGCACTTCTGGAGACGGTTGTAGAGGAGAAGAAAGAAGAGAAGATCTAGGAATCACCATGGAGTTTACCTGCTAAGTTTTTATGAACCATTATAGTTTCCTTTCATCTCTTAATTCTGTTTCAATAAACATGCAAGGCTAAAGTCCTTTATGTAGTTAAGGCGAGACAGAACTAATGGGTTCTTGAACGCTGTTTGATTTTGATGTTGTTATTATTTGTATTTTAGTTATGCAATTAACCTGTTTTAAATTCATAGTTTTGTTCATGAACTGATCAATCTTGAATGAGTACTAGATTTTTGCATGTCAATATGAATATTGTTTGCTTGAATCCGATTGGTTAATTGCTGGAATTTGTATGCTCTAGGAATAGTCTTATAAATTCTATGACGCATAATTCTTGACCTTAAAGCTTGCTTTAGAAAAAGACCCTAAGGGATTAGAGCCTTGGAATAAAGTAAAGAACTGAAACTACCAAGGGATTGGGGATTCAGTTACATTAGAAAGAATTGTCAATAATTGATTGCGAACTTTAATTGCATGAAAGTTAAACTCGTTGAGAAACTATTGGGGAAGTCGAGTCCCTAACTATATCTTAAGGGTGAGAAGGATTTTGGAGGGTTTTACAAAAATTCTTAATTTTCTTCTCCCATTTTTTTAAACTCACAAATAAAAGGAAGACATGAGTAAAACATTCCTCTTCCTTTCCTTCACCTCCTAATTTGGACTCCCAAACAAAGCGTTAGAGTTCTAATTGGGAGAGCCACCTTAGACAGATACCAAACTTTACAACAACCCGCACCTTGAGTTAAAACTGAGGCTAATAGCACTCATCCAACAGAACAAGGATCTCTTTGCTTGGATAGCGTATGACATGTTTGGTATAGATCCAAACTTCTGTTTTCACTACCTCTCAATCCATCCAACAACTAAATTGGTCCTTTGAATGAAAGGGAAAACCGGCCCCATATACATCAAGTTATTGAAAAGCAAAAGGCTAATGAGAAATGGAGGATTTGTGTGGACTATACCAACTTGAATAAAGCTTGCCTTAAATATTCCTTCCATCTTTCTATCATCGATAATCTGTTGGAGAATTCTCTGGCTTTCGTCTCCTCTCTTTCAGAGATGCAAACTCTGGGTACAACCAAATACCCATACACAGAAAAGGACGAAGAAAAAACAATCTTCATTACAGAAAAGAAGCTAACGCTATAAGATTATGTCATTTACGCTTAAAAAAGTTGGAGTAATGTACCAACCCATGATAAATAAGGTCTTTCAAAATGAAATTGGGAGAATGTTGGAGGTATATGTAAATGATGTGATGGTAAAGAGTCTAAAAGGAAGAGATCACATCTTGGATGTAGCGTCTTCCAACAACTCAAGGCGCACAACATGCATTTGAAAAGGTGTGCATTTGGAGTCTTGAAATTCCTTATGTTCATGCTAACCGATAGAGGCATAGAGGCAAAGCCAAATAAATACATGACAATCATAGAGATAAAGAAGCCCCGTAACATCAAAGAAGTAGAACTTCTCCCCAAATAAATATAACAAGAAAGGAAATCAATTCATCTGGATCCTCAAGTGTGATAATAGATTATTGCAGTAGACAGACAAATTATTTTTTTTCCTAGTCCCCAAAAGAATGTGTAAATAATAGATAAATTCTTGCATGTATTAGGGTGTGCATGACAACCATTCTATTCCCTGGCACTGATTCTGAAAAGAAACAATTCTTTTTTATTTTTGTTCCTTGGAACAGTTTCTGAGAAAAAAAAAGTGTTTGATAACATGTTATATTTTTATTTCGAGAATGAGAATTGTGTTTGATAACATAACAAATAATATAATAAAAAATAATTCCTATTAAATATAAAAAAATTTGGATCATCACTTTCCTTTCCATATAGTGTGGTTGAGGTGGTGGTGGCGGCGGCGGTACGGTGGTGGTGGCGGCAGTGACGTGGTGATGATAGTGGTGGTGGTTGTGACGACAGTGGCTGCGGCAATGGCGGTGGTAATGGTGGCGGCAACGGTGGAAGTGGTGGGGATGGTGGTGGTGGAGGTGATGGCAGACGGCAGTGACTGCGACAATGGTGGTGTGGATGGTGGCATATGTGGTTGGTGGCGGCGACAATGGTAGCGGTGGCATGGTGATGGTGGTTGTGATGGCATTATGGAGGTGACAGTGGCTGCGGCGGTGGTGGTGGTGGTGGTGATAGGTGAAAATGGTGGTGGTGGTGGCAGTGGCTGCGGCGGTGGTGGTGGTGATAGGTGACAGTGGTGGTGTAATGGTGGTGGTGGTGACGGTAGTGGCTGTGACGATGGTGGTGGTGGTTGGTGGCGGCGGTGTCGATGTCGGTGGTGGCTGCAACAATGATAGTGGTGGTTGGTGACAGTGGTGGTGATGGTAGCGGTGGCATTGTGGTGGTGGTAGTGGTGGCGATGGTGGTGATGGCGATGGTGGCAGTAGCGGCAATGGTTGCGAACTTGCGATGATGGTGGTGGTGGTTGATGGCAGTAGTAGTGACGGTGACGGTGATAGTGGTGGTGGCGGTTGCAGCGGTGGTAGTTGTGGTGGTGGTGATGGTGACATGATGGTAGTGATGGGTGGAGGTGGTGGTGATGGTGGCGGTGACATCGTGGTGGTGGGGGTGGTCACAACAGCACTAGTGGTACGACGACGGCGACGATGATGGTGGCGATGGTCGTGTTGGGATGATGGTGGTGGTGGTGATGATGGTAGAAATGGAGAGTGATTAAAAGATATTAGTGTTTCTCATTTTGTGCCCGAGAACAAAAATCAAAAATTTGTTGATTTTTTTTTTATTCCTTAGCACAAAAATTAATCCGGTTCTTCCCGGGAACAAAAAAATAAATCGATTTTACCAAACAAATTTTTTATCCATTTCTATTACCGGGAACAGGAATTAAAAAAAATTGATTACGGAAAGATTGTCATGCACACCCTTAATGAACTATCATCACTTAAAGTTGAGGACAAAGTCAAACGTAAAATTAAAAGTTCATTATAGTGATTTTTAAATCAATGTAAAGTTTAAGATGCCCGCAGTTTTCCCTTTAAACATTGAAAAATCTTTTTCTTATGTTGTTGTAGATAAGTTATCTTATGTTAGTGAAGCAAAATTATAAGAGGGACCTACAAATAATTGGAGAGAAAAAAATAAATGTGAAACCTATCTTTATTATGTGTGTAGAAAGATGAATTATCTCATATTGAATGAGATAAATATAAAGTCATTTGTTATACTTGTATTTATTTTGCCTGAATAGTGAATAATATTTTTTAATTTTCAATTATAAATCAGAGAATTTTAAAATTGCTATAATTTCTTTGACTACAGACTTTACTACAGGCGCGATCCAATTAACTTTTGCTACAAGCGCAGCTAAATATTAAGTCGCTAAATGAACATATCGGTACAAATAATCCCACACAAAATTCTTTATTGCAATCAATGAATGAGTCAACAAGATAGAATATTTAAATATAGCGGTATAAACCTTACGTATAAACTACAACTTTCTATATTTAGTAACAAAATGTGAGGTAACAGAACAAGCAGCCAATAGTAATAATATATGACCTGAAAAAACAATAAGAAGACATATATCAGCCTCCACACATAAAATATATTAAGTTCATATGCAGTTGAACAGAGTCAATGTTACGTTAATAGAGTAAGAATTATATAAATTAAAATTTCATCCCCTATTCATTTAAAATAAAAAGTCTAATCTATTATTAATGTAAAACATTACATCAGGGGATAAGGTAACAAAATTTGTAATAAATGTTTAAGATGATGTTTGAAACACTTCGAAATAAAAGCATTTTACACAATCAAAAAAATTACAAATTTAATAGGAAAACAGAGAAAAGAGACCAAACAAGAAAATAATTTTAAAACGTGATAATGCAATTATATAGACCTAATAGCTTTTAAAACAACAATTCAGCACCAACATCATCCACCTAATAATATACCAAAATTACAGTCGCAGCTTGGATGATCCAAGACGTGAGATGACCACAATTCATCGGCCTTTTGTTATCAATTTTACAGAAGAATCTTTACTTTTAGCTATTAGCATCTGAACAATAAAATATCTAAAAGTATTACGGAGCTTGTCATGCTGTCCAGACAGAGTGCCTCGACATAGATCCGAAAGGTACACCCAAAAAGAATTGATGCCTTACCACTTGGAAGGGTATTTAGAGCTTAAATAGAAATTTTGAAAAAGATATAAAGAATTGGAAAAATGATATGTAAAATTTGTCCCATCCTTCAGAAAGAACTTCTACTCTTCCATCGCCCTACTCAGTAAAATTTGTTGGTCTCTCTAATTAGAAGCGTGATAAAAGGTTTCAACACCAAAATAAAGTGAAATCATATGAAAAAAATAAATAAAATATATGGGATCTTTTACCATTCATGTCGCAACTTTTACCTCTTAATTTCCAGCATGAAATCAAGGGTGAACATACTCAATCAGCCTGCAAATACCACAAATAAACATCAATTCCTGGAAAAGTATGCAGTTCGAATGGCAAGACCATTGAATTGATGTTTAATAACCATAATATATCATTTTTTTTTTTGTGAAAATTCAATCACTTATACTTTCAAGATGCTTTGCCTTTATACTTCTCAGGAAGTTCTCATACGTCAGACAAATGAAAAGGTTGTCATACAAAGTATTGATGCAAAGAGTAAAAAGAAAGGTAGAGCTGCAGATTGCAAGAAATTTAAAATTTTATTTGAACTTCTGTCTAAACTTGGGCGTGCCAATTTAACTAAGTTTCCAAAACCATTTTCATAATTTGCACTTTCCTTATTAAGCCAGTAAGTAGTGTGATAGCAAGTCGATATCCATGAGAATCAAGTTGGTTGCCAGTTTGCTCTTCTCAATATTAACATATACACAACCTAGGCTTCATACAATTGTTACAACAGTTGGTGACAAGGAAAGTTTACAATCAGAAAAGTAGCTCACACTTGAGGGTTAAGGAGTCTGGTTTGCCCCTGAAAATGTTCCATATAATTTTTTTCTTTTATATTGTCTCAAGCATAGGCTGTGAGCCAACCATTGGTTCTCTATTGAAAGTTTTCAAGAAAGGGGTATGCAAACAGGGTTACTGCATTCACATTAAGCAGTCACCACAATAATCCACCCTTACTTTAAAGCTGAGTCCTATTTCCTGAAAGTTAAGCTACTATCTCTATTTGAATGCCATATAATCTTTCTTTAAATAGTATTTTCTCTCCCATTGAAAATTGACATTCCTATGTATTTTTTTTTTGTTGGAATCTTGTTGATATCCTTATTATTATTATTTTTTAAATGTGAATCCTATCCATAATGTATTGTAAAACAAATAAAATCTGATAAAGAAAAAGATGGGAAAAATGTTCATTTTAAACATTTATATCTTTACAATACGTGCATAAGAAAAAAAATATATTAATAATATATATAAAATTAAATTTCTTAAAATACTCATGCAAGGCACGAATTACACATTAGTCAAATTGTAGTATACAACATATTGTAATATCAATATAAATACATTCCTAATCAACAACGATGACATTGATTTCCAATTTTTCTCTTTGCTACAAAATCGAACTTATACATATAAAGTTTTGACATAAAGCGAACATAGTGATTTACCTTCTCATTTTTTGGACCAAAAATTGCTTTGACTGACTCGAATACCTCTTCAATAGGCCTTGCAGCATCAATCTAAGAAAGAAAAATTTATGCTATGCCCTTAGTACAAGAGGCAACCAACAAACTTAACAAAAAGATGGTAGAAACACAACTACCAATTACCTTGCGAACTTTTTGCTTTGCATCATAATAATTAATCACAGGGAGACTAGACTCCAAGAAAACCTTGAACCGTTTCCTTATTGTTTCAATATTGTCATCATCTCTTCCCTTTAAAATTGAAAAAAAAAACTATTTTAAGTACGAAAAGAATAAGGAAACAGATAAATAATTTGATGGACCAGAAATATGTGGGATAAATGTAATAACAATATAGGGGTTGTTATAGAGAGAGAAAAGGAAGAGTTAGTTAGCTCTAGAATATTCTTAGGGAATAGGATAAAAGGAGGGGGAATGCGGGGAGTGAGGGAGGCATGTATTGAGTGAATATTGGGGATTTGGGGATCTCTTAGAGCATAAGGTTGTTGGTTCTAAAGGTGAGTAAGGGTCTTTTGGTGTCTTGTTCTTGTATTAGTGTTTGTAAAAAGAGGCTATGCTTCCATTGATTCAATAAATTCAATGTTATAAAATTGGGTTTCATCTATTTGGTATAAGAGCATCTTCGATTCGGAGGTGTTTCTAGTCCAGATTTGTGAAGAGATGACAACCATGGGAGGAATCAGCAACTCAGAGCTCAAGGAAATTTTGAAAAAGGTGTTAGATGAGGCAATAGTGAAGACAGAGACACAGAGATTTGAAATCAAGAAGAAGCACAATTCTGAACACAATACTCGATTAGAATATTTTTTTGGAAAAGTAAAAACAAAGAGATTGAAGAAGCAGCCGTAGAAGAAATCAACGAAGAAGAAGAAGTGGCTGCAGGAGAAGAAAGGGATGTAGGAGTAGAAGAACGAGGCTGTAAACGTGTTGATGGAGGGGAGCGTGAGGTAGGAACCCAAGTGATGGCTGGATGGACAAAGTCGATAACAAACGGTGGAGGAAGTTGTGGTTCGCGTTTTAGGAAATTGACATAGGAAGAAGGCGAATGAAAAGAAGATGCAGATAAAGAAGCAGAAATCAAAGAAGAAGAAGACGAAGAAGGACAAGAGAAAGAAGTGAGAGAAAGGTTGGGAACGATGAAGGGGCGCTTGGGCATTGGGGGTGGTTTAGTTAGTGGGCTGAATACACGCCCAGCTTTGCATAATAGGGCTACATCATTTGCTGAGAGGCCCAATACTAAAGGTAGTGATGGGTGCAATGGGCCCGGGGGAACAAATGCACTCTCCTTGTCCCAAAATGGAGTAAATAACCAGAATTTGGATCAATCTAATGTCATGGGCCTCACAAATCATCTAGGTCACCCAATCTTGATGGGGTGAGATTAGAAGCTAGCTCTTCAATCAAAACGATAGGGAATGAGAGGCTATTCGAAGAAGGAGGGGACAATAGTCACAAGGTGCGTAACCAAGGAGGATGCAGAGAGGGACATGTAGGGCATTGATCTCCCCGAAAGCATTCTAAAGGGAAAGCACTATGGAAAGGTAGAGCATCTTTAAGAAAGACTCAACCTTAGTGTATGAATATGAGCTCCGAAGCTCCTTCGTTAGAAATTCAAGAGTTCACATTAGTTAAATACGAGTTTGAATTGCTTTAGGAAGGCAAGATCACATGTTAAGAAAATTTCTGCTATACGAAATCTTTGTCAAAAGTTTAAGGGGGTGGACGAGAGACTGGGATATGCTTGGCTCGCAAGTTTGGGGAAGAAACCAAGAACCTTGGTGGACATTTGGGCATCCTATAGTTTTCTGGCATTCATATAGCTCAATAATTGAAGCTGCCAATTGGGTCAAGATACTTCAAACAATGGACCCGGGTGGAAGTTCTCACATATTACCTATCTTCTTTCCTCATCTTGAGACAAGGTGAGTTTTGGAGGGGGAGTATTGATGGGCCTGAAATATGAGGGATAAATGTAATAAAGTATAGTGGTTGTTACAGAGAGAGAAAAGGAAGAGAGTTAGTTAGCTCTAGAATATTCTTAGGGGATAGGATAAAAGAAGGGGAAATGTGGGGAGTGAGGGAGGTATGTATTGAGTGAATATTAGGGATTTGGGGATCTCATAGAGTCTAAGATTGTTAGTTCTAAGGGTGAATTGGGGTCTTTTGGTGTCTTGTTCTTGTATTAGTGTTTGTAAAAAGAAGTTATACCTCCATTGATTCAATAAATTCAGTGTTATAAAACTGCCATCATGACTTTTTAAATAAATGAAAAAAAAAACTCAACCTGGTTCCTATTAAGAAGTCGCCTCTCCATCTCTTCCTCAGGGCAATCAAAATACAGGACAAATGCTGGCTCTATTCCTGTCTGCAAAGCCATAATGTATTTTGAAATTAATAGTATAATTATCTATACTGGAAACCAATGCTACTAAACTCGGCCCGGTCATTGACCCAATCGAGGTACTGGGTCACTGGTTCAACCACATGACTCGATAAGAATATACAAATCTATAATTTATATTAAAAAAATTATAAATATACTCAAATACCTATAAAAAAATAATACCAATTTCTAATATTTTAATATGAAAAATAATAAATAACACATAATTATCCAACAAAGGATCAAACAAACATATGGTGCTTTATGTTCAATAGACAATATCTCTAGCTATAAATTAAATCAAAATTCCTTGCATAGTACATAACTAAGATAATATTAGTGTTGTAGGTACATAACCTATATAAGTCAATAAGCAAAAAATACTCAAATATTTAAAAAAAAAAAAACCATTTGTGAATTTAAAAAAAATGATATCATTTATGATTTTTTTTTTTTTGAAATTTTTTTCTTTTATGAACCAGGTCGGGTCATCGGTTGAACCCACCGAATCACTGGTTTTCATCAAAACCGGCCGGGTTGCACCGGTTAGCACCGATTCCAATGTTTGACCGATCTGCTGCTTTACCCGAACCGATTATATGACCGGTTTACCGGTTCTCGGGTCGACCTGGCCGAGCCGGTCCAGTTTATCAACACTGCTGGAAACAACTAGAAATGAAAAAGTTCTATTTAATGAAAATAGCAATTACCACATTCTCAAATGCTGCACGATTTTCCTCATTGCGAGGAAAACCATCAATAAGAAATTTGTCATTTCCACATTCCTGTATTGCTCGTTGCAAAAGCTTAATTGTTACCTCAGAGGGAACAATTTTTCCTTCTTTAATCATATTCTGAATCATTGTACTGTCAAACATCAGAAATGTAATGTGTAAATGCTAAAAGATATTAACAATTTAAACCCAATACAAGATAGTAGACTAACATCAGTGCTCGCAGTTGAAATTGGAAAGGCAAACACAATAGCTAATATGAGAAAATACATATACTTTCTACCGAATACAATTAGAATTTGGTAAGCAATGTGAAAGAAAATACTAGATATAATTAGATATTCCCAAAACATGGACATGATTAGATGATCTAGCACCAACACAATGGGATAATCTGCACCTCTTTTTAGCATGAAAAAGGGAAAGCCAATTGGACATGTATTTTGATATTATACGCACTAGTCCGTCCACTACCCTGGGCAATTTGCCCCTTCAATATGATCAAACGAAGTCAAAGCAAAATGTGAAATTTAAATCCAAATGCATATCAATCAATTTGGACAGAAGAAAAATTTACTATTACTAGTGCATCCACACTAACTTGAAATGAAAGAAATGAGTGGTTTACTAATATTGGTTCTTCTTTCAGAAAAAGGGGGAGCTCCAAACTTATGATTTCTTCAAGATCTCACCTTTGACATTCACTCCCCTTCTATCCCTTTTCTCTAATTTATTTATTTATTTTTATAATTTTATAAGAGAAGAAGAACAAGTCATTATGAGTAAAAGAATTGTATAAGGAGACAAGAAGTCATACTTAGAGAAACAAAAAATGTAAGATTATCGATGAGATAAATCACTGTTTTCAAAATTATCCATTAATTAGGGCATAAAGTCATTAGCGGAAAATTCCGTTTGATTGTAATTCGAATACCATCAAGAGTGTGCACTCTACACCATTACCTATGAAGAACACTACGAGATGCAACCTACTGAAAAACATATCCCCTAAAAGCTAATAAGAATATAAGATATTCCAGTCTATAACTCTACCATGATACTCTAGTCTCTAGCCAGCTGCTCCAAAAAATTAGTGCAAACAAAAAAGATCTCCACCAATCCTTCTTCACACAACGGAAAAATCTTCCATGAAATTGAATTTGTGCAAAGCTAGATACCATTGCAATCAAGTAAGCAGGAACAAGAACAAATACAGGAAAGAACTGCAGCACATGTCCACCTAGAAAGGCAACAAGCTATTGACTATTGAGAGACTAACCCACCCTACCCTACCCCCACATCCCACAGAAAAGTGGATCTACCATCATAGTATAATACATACAAAATTTATATCATGTCCCATAGCAAAATTAGCATAGCCAACATAAACTTGAATTTACTACAAATGATCCTTTGGAGTTTATGAAAAATATTACACTTCTCTGAGAAAAAATATACAAGTACAATGGAAACTATTTTCAAATTTAGATTCCTAGAACCCACAATTTTGAGTTGTATTTTATGAGATACAAAAATATAATTTTACTGAAATTTCTCTTTATAATGCTGTACTCCATTTCTTATGAGATTTATTCAGATAATAAATGTCACAATCATACATGATGTAGGTTCTGCTATATAAGCATTATTTTAAAAAAATAAAATAAAATGAAAGTGCACTCCCAATTGAACTTGTCACTTGTTTTTTAATAGAGACAGGAGAGACTATAAACAGTCAATACAACAGGACTATAATAGATTAAGATGAAGCATATAATCCATACCCATTTTCAGAACCAGATTTAATTTCTGCTCGCAGAAGATCACCGGCACTGAGGTGAGTATACCCAAAATTTTGCACAATGTTTGCACATTGAGTACCCTTTCCACTGCCTGGGCCACCTGTATCATTATCAGATGAATAATCAACTTAGAATTCAGAAAAAGTCCACTATAAATTCCAATAAACACATTACAGACATAAATGGGTAAATAAATACACTCTCCAAAAGGAAAAGGAACAGAAAAAGAAAATTATTGTGTTATATGGTAAATGATAAAAGCTAAGCCTTAAGTGAAATTAGTAATAGCTGGTAATTTATAAAAATTAATACAGGTTTCAACTATGTCAGAATCAGCGTCAAGCTACCAAGATTCCTGGGTTGTGATTTATCATTTTAAAAGGAATTACTAGAACATACGTGTATGATAACAAATCTCAATAGCACTCTATTTCTTTGATATTTTCCTTTTCCAAGGTGAAAGAAAAAAAATCAGGGTATTTAAATAATCAACTTAGTAACGTAATTCCAAAATCATCAGCCAAATTTTATGTTTAGAAAGTAAACAGTTTTCTGCAGCAAAATTAACTGCAGATTCAGGTTATAGTTGCAAAACAGCTTGTCATGAATAAACTGAAACAATGAAGAAAGTATTTTCAAGGGATTAAAATACCTGTTTGATAGAAGTTCACAACAATCCCCCTGACCCCCAAAAATAAATAAAAAATAATCCATGCCATGGTGCCAAATTACATAAGTCTAGATGAATGTATGCATGAAAGGTATAGGTTGTCATCGTGGTTCAAAAAGTTGGCAACAATAACGATAAAAGAAAGGTATTGAAGAGACAACACAAGTTCCCCATTATAATTATTAAGTGAGTCAGATTATATAATTCTACTAAAGAATAAATATACTCAGTATTTTATTAGGATCTTGAGGTAAGTACGACATGATCTTCTCAATAGACCTATTATTTATGAATACAAAACGGGGAAGATATGACACAGAATTACAGTGAGCTAGGGTAATCTTGAACAATGTGAAACAAATTCAAAGTGCATCAGGATTTTATCAAAAGCTTATTCAGAGGGAAGATGACAATGGATATCCTTGACTTGAATGCAATCAATCAGGGCTCACCTAACACAAAAATAACTGTAGGTTTTTTCTCTAGGATGCTTCCATTTCCATCCTACAATGAAGGATTAAAAAGAAAGAAAAGAGTTAAAATTTATACTGCATGAAAGATGATATGATCTCAACAACACAAAATAAAATGGCTCGCAACAAAGTTTAAAGCTCATATTGATTGCAATATATATATATATATATATATATATATATATATATATATATTGCTGGACATATAGCACTAACATATCGTACAGCTTTATGTACAGCACATTGCCCAGTCAAGGAAAAATATATTTTCAAAGACTAAACCTTCAAATTCTGTACGACAGTAAAAGAATCATGAAAAATATTCACTTCAATCAGATTTTCAAAAGAACCAGTCAAAATGCAAAAATGCTAGAAGCAAGTCCATATGTGAAATAACCATGAATACCTTTTTTGCAGCTTCAACAACAGTTCCCATGAGTAGCAACTAAACTGTGTTTATCTACAAAAAAAAAAAAAAATAAAAAAAAAATGACAAGCTAATAGAATGATGACTCAAAAGACAAATTATTTATAGCAAAGAATCAAGTATGTATATAGGTATACTCATTCAGTCACACTACTCAATGAAATATTCCAGAAAATCATCATATTAATAAGCTACAATGCCATATGTCAAAGCAACCATTTCACTAATGTCAAAGCACAAATTTGATAAGGGAACCTAAACCTAATAAATTTATTAAAAAATCATACTTGATCCATAAAATCATGGGTATACTTGCTATAAAAAAAAAGAAGGAGCAGCGCAGACGAATTTGATCTTATACATAAATCCTCACTTGCATACATAGTTGATCTGTTCACCGAAAATTCAGCTGATTCACAACTGTCATTCACTGTTCAACAGATCAAGGCAGGAGCGTAATACTCTCAGAACATTCTTCATTAAAACTCACTCAATTTCGTTCAAGTAAATATTATTAACCAAAACTGTCATTAAAACTTAGATCTAATTAAAAGTTGCCAAAACACCGCGTCGGATACTAAAAGCGAGACAATTTCGATGAAATACACGAGAAATTAACTAACAACAACTAGAAGAACCATTATTTCCATCAACCAGTGAGATCAACAACCGCTAATGCAACACTGAAAGTGAGATCACAAATCCGCTAATCAATTGCAACCGAATTTAAAAATCAGCTAAAATTTTTCAGACACGGCATGATAAAAAATCGAGCCAATGCTCGACGAATCAAGAAATGCAAGTAATTCAAAAGAGAAAAACACAGATCGAAGATCAGTTTAGTCAGATCTCGGAAAAATTCGAAGAGTTCAAGCGGAATTCAAAGAAGATTCAGAGAGTGCTTTACCTTCGCGCGAAGAAGAACAGAGAAATGAGGAGAAATAGGAGACAGAGATGCGAGAATAGTGGAAAAGAATTTGAAGTGCTTTGATTGTGGGGATTGTGACGCTCTCTCTCTTTGTATTTATAGAGTTTGAAGAAAGAGTAATAAGGTTGATGAACGATGAAAATCGTTTTTAGTTGGGTAGGGGCAATATGGGAAAGTAATTTTCCGTGCTTGCGTGAATGTAACGGCTACGATGCACACTTTTCTCGGGTATGACTTGTGACTGTGATTCACCGACGAGGTGGGAAGCCAATAAATCTTGGGTGCATCACATATATTTAATTAAATATACTTTTTGAATTCTGTGCAAAAAAATATGATATCATCACGTACAAAGATTATATAAAATAAAGGTGAATTAATATTTATAATTTTGTAATTATTTATTTTAATATATTTTTTTCTTTTTTTTTGTCATTGATTCATTTTTGTATGATTATAATTTTTCACATGATCTTATTATTTTTCTTACACGAGAGGATCCAAATAATACTATTTTAAAAAAAAGGAAAAAAATTCAATATGACGAATTTTTTTAAAAAAAATGGTAAAAAAAATTTAAATATGAAAAGAAGATATATCAAATTGAATACATCTGATGCACCAAAGATTTGCCAAAGAACGATTTGGAAGATTCTTATATTAATAATAAGGGTTTGATATTTGTCATTTTAAATAACATGAGTTATGTCATTTTAGGAGAGAGATAGACACAAAAAACAAAAATCATGAGGGAGAAAGTGAGTGATTTTTTTTAATTTAAATTTTAAATAAAAAATATTATTTTGTGTCTATCTCTCTTAAAATGACATAACTTTATGTCATTTAAAATAACAAACATTTCCTTAATAATAATTCTTATTATATTTAAATTTGTACATTTTGTTTTTTAGAGGTTAACATTTCTCATCGAGCAACATATGCCTAATTGAAATTTATTTTGAAAAATACTTTTTTTAATTTTCAGAATAAAAAATAAGAAAACCCTTTAATAAGGTTTATTTTGTAAAATAAATTTAAAAAATTGTCTCAAAGTGAATAGAATCCTATGAGAAAAAAAAAAGAGGAAGAGAAAAAAAAAATTAATTCAACCAGTTTCATGTGTAGAAAAGATAAAGTTAAAAAATTCAATTCAACCACTTTCATTTATGTAGAAAAGATAAAATTATCTTATTTTATAGAAAAATATTATATTTAACTTTTATTAAAAAAAATTAAGTTTGTCTTTTATAAAGTAATGTGTAAATAGAACATCTAGAGAATTAAATGTTTAGTGTGTATAATTTAAGTGCATTAAGTTAATAAAAATGTTAAGACATCATTAATTCATTGATAAATATAACATTTGCTCAATAACAATTCATGATGTTATTGCATTATTGACTCGGCGCAATCAAGTTGAATGTTGTAGGTTTCTAAACAAATCTACTAGCTTTGAGTGTAAGTGGGTGTTTACCAAACAAAATGCTTCTTTTGCTTGAAGAATCAACATATGAAATGTCAAATTTATTAAATAATATCATAATACATAATTAAATAGTAGCAAAAATATTATATTGACAATGTATTAAATTAAACTTTTACATAAAATTAGAAAGTTTTAATATGTAATGACAGAGGTACATGGAAAAGAGGTGTGCTCCCCCTTATAAACTCCACATTAATTGCTCTTCAACCAATGTGAGACTATATATCTCAACACGTAAAGTTTGAAAAAAAAAATAAAGACATTAGAAATATCTAGCTTTTTTTGTTTTTGTTTTTTTTTTTTTAATTTTTGGCTTAAGTGCTCCTAGTTCTTGCTTTCATGGTTTAGGTTAGAATTTCAACTTGTGTAATATAATCTTATTGAATTTTTTTTTTTTTGGTAGAACCTTATTGAAAATTTCAAACCGAGATTATAATTATTTATATAATTAATAGAGTAATAAGATGCTAAACATAAATTTGTAATAAGAGTGGCATGTATAAAATCTTTACAAAATAATTTCTCTACACGAATAATAAAATTCCTCAAAGTTGAAGCAACAAGGAATTAAAATACACTTGGGAAGAGATTAATTCCTCGTTCTAACTCAGATTTAGCATCGTGATATTGTGGATGTTGAATTTGAGATAAACGATTGCGTCCTTGGGAAGAGATTAATAGTTAGATTTAATGACTAGGTTGATTAACCTAATGACCCTAAGTCGAACGGGCTGAAACTTTGCGATCACATGAGTAGACGTGTCGTATTTGATCAAACGCTAGGTGATTGACTAGAGAAGTTTCCTAAACAAATACAGGGATTTCGATTCGTTTAGGATCAACCATGAAATCGATAATTATTATTTTTCCAATGACGAATGTCTATAGAATTCCAACTCTGGGTTGGTTGTTTTAAATCTCATTTTTAAATCCCAATTTACAGTATATTTTATTTCAAATTTAATCGAACAAAAATCTCCCTTTTAATTTTTAATTAGCGATTTAAACCCTTAAAATTTCCTTGAGAGATTACTCGGATTTGAACTTTGCTACAAAATTTTAATAAACTTGATTTAATTAATTTGCGCGAGTTCGACAATTAGTGTCACTTATAGAGATGGAAAAATTTATGACATCATCATTCCCATCCTTGGGAATCTCTCTTCTCACTATAAATACCCCCACTCGTCCAATGAGGTGTCATTTTCTTCACCATTGCTCTTCATATCATTAGTTTGCAAAAGTCACTCCTCACTAGCCATAAATTAGCCCTTACACCTCTCTCTTGGTTCTGAGTTAGCCTTAGACTTCATGTTGACCTCCATTGAGTTATACTTCATAATATTAACTGAGATTGTCACTTTTACATAATCTACTTTATCCTCCATGGGATACATCTAACAAGTTCACATATTCAAAGAAAATGCTAGAGAAAAAATATGTGTCAACTCTAAGAAGCATGGTTTTCCATTAGTTAATGGGTTAAAGTTTTCTTATGTTGTGCAAAGTAAAACTTTTTTGCAGCACACACAATCAATGGTGGGGTCTACAATTGATTAAAAAAAAGAAAAAAGAAAATGGAGTGATGTGATGTAAGGTTTTTTGTGTATGCTGCAAATTATTTTTACTTGCAGTCACATAAGAAAACTTTAACCCTTAGTTAATTGTTATTTTATCTTTTACATCTGTCATGATATTCTTAATATATTTATATTATGTTTTTATACTTACTAGTGCTTCCTTAACTTTCATGCATAGTATTTGCTATTATTGATGTAAGTATTCTGGAATAATTTTCTTTTAAAAGTTCAAATTATTAGGTGAAGACATGTTGGATAATATAATTAAGGGTCATATGTTGATTCACTTAAGTCATTATATTAAAAGATTTAGAGCACCTAATAAATCTTAAAATTATTTTAATGTGAATATACAAGTTCAATATGTGACTTGGTATTTATGGTTATGAAATACGACCAGTAGGGATGAGAAAAATTGTATTTAAATAATTAGATTAAAATATATGCCCTTTTATATGGTACAGGAATGTAGTAAAGGAAAATGTGAAGGAAGTCTTGGATGCCAACTTCATCTGAAAAATAATACACCACCTGATTCTCAAACATTGTCCTGGTGAAGAAAGAAAGTGGCAAGTTGTGTGTCTGTATAGACTCTATCGACCTCAATAGGACTTGCCCCCAAAGATTTATATCCCATGCCAACATAGACTAGCTCGTTGACAACTCTTCCATGTTTCGCCTCTTATCCTTCATGGGCGCCTACTCATACTACAACTACATTCTAATGCACCCTAGAGATAAGGAGAAGATTGTCTTCATCATTGAGAAGGCTAGTTATTGTTACAAGATGATGGAGCATTGCAGTCTGGTAGTCCGAACTCTCATACTGTTAGACTAGGAGGCAACTGTTTTGTACCCACATAATGGGTTTCACAGGATCTACAAGATAAAGACCTAAGGCAATCCTAATTCAAATACGAAATGAGCCATATTTATCAAAAAGTTCGAGTCTTACCCAAACTCTCTCACCTTCAAGTAAGCTCTCTCCAACCTCACATGAACACACTTTCGAAATACTACTATCTTACTACCATTATACACACACTCCACTCATCATGTTATTATGATCAAAATGATTATGTGCATGGACTTAATCTATACTTTAATCAAAATGTTATTGGTGAAAGTAACATTTAGTATACAGGTTATTCATGTCTTATCGTGTCATGTCAACCCACATAATAAACGATACTATCTGAGGTTACAGATTATTAATGTTGTGTTGTGTCAATTCGCAAAATAAATAGGTTGTGTTCTTGTCGAAGGTTTTAACTCATTTTAAAATTCATGTCTTGCTCATATTAACTATATCAATATTCGTATCAAATTTGTGTTGTATCATATTGTGTCATAACGACGATAAGTTTCTTGATTTCTTAAAGTGATGCTTATCTTTGTTGTGTAAGAAATTACAAAATATGATTATATGAAGTTAAAACACCAAAATGGTTTAGGCTTACTTGTTGATAACATGATTTTTGATATCTTAGTTGTAGTGTTTGCTCCGGTATTCCTGCAAAGGTTGAAGGACCAGGATGTTCCTCTACAATTCACATAACTCCTTGTTCACAACTTTTGATGGGGCAAGTTGTGGCGTGAATGTTTTCCAACATACTATGAATACAGAGGGGACTTAACCAAACTTATTAACCCTAGTCCCCTTCCATCATGGGCCTATGATATAAGCCTATACTATTACCTACACTAATCAATGTTACAAATATCCAAGCCCAAATCAAAGGATCGCTTAATTAAATAGGCTTTATAATGCACCCATATGGATCACGACTTAACCCATTTTTATAAAAAGAAGAAAATAAATGCAATTGATTGTGGCCCATAATAAATAAAAAAAATTTAACATTCTTCCTTTTGGGCAAAATCAATTGTATAATTTTAATTTTTAAAAAAATAAGTATATGAAAACGACTCTCGGTTTAAGGATTAATTTTATAATGTGGCCGCATTTTAAGAAAAAACACATGACTCAAGGTGCGATATTTGAATATGACTCCATCCAACAAAAGTCAAATAACAATGAATCAGGCTGTGATTACATCCTTCATTGATATAAGACTTTCCATAGTCACAATGTCATTTGACCCTTTCGACTAGTCATTAGTGTGGAATGTAACAAGAAAATATAATATCAATGTGATCCAATAACAATAAAACTGCTATTTTCTTTGTTAGTCCTCAAATTTCTCTCAAGTGTCTTAAAGCCAAGAAAATTTTATGGTTTGTCAAAAAATCATCATACATCAAATATGGTATCATTATGTCTCAAACTCCCATATAATAACAACCTGGTGTGTAAGAACCCGCACCGTTAATTAAGGAAGTTAATTAATTAATTATGTGAAATTAGGAAATAATTTCGTAATTGACCCTAATAATTATGAGAAGGCTTAAATAATATTGGTAAGTGATTAATAATGCTGAAAGTCACTTTTCTGACGAAAAGTGCAGATACCGGTTTTGCTACTCAGTATAGATGCGTACCGATGAAGTATCCCGTGAAATTATAATAAGTGTGGGAATATTCCTAAAATAATATGTAGGACTGTGATTTCAAGTTTCAAGTTAAAATAATGAGAACTGGTGCCAGAACTGATACTAGCTATGGAAAAGCGCGTACCGAAAAGGTACTGCGAAAAATAATATAAAAATGTGATAAATCCTAGAATAATGGCTAGGTTCGGAATCTAAAGTTTGAGATTAAAATGCTAAGCGTAGCTATTAATGTTAATACTGTGTGTTATTTTAAGTGGACCTATTTAAGCTATAATGCACAAAACCCTAGGCCATAATTTGACTGCTACGTGAGTGTCTTGAGTGCTGATTCTCTTTAGCCATTGTCCCTTCCCTTGAAGCTTGGACCCTTGTGCTTGTTTGAGGGCCAAGAACTCACATTTTTCCTTAGATTTATTCACATAAAGACTTGTAAACACCTTGTAGTTATCATTGTGAGGAAGCTTGGTGAATTATTTTGAGTGTCAGCCTTGTGAGGAGGGTGTTTGTTGCTGTCCACCTTGTTTGAGAGAGTGAGGACCTTGTTCTTACCATTTCTAGACTCCAAGGAGCTTTCTTGGTAGCAAAGATCCAAACTTTGATGGTCAAATTCATGGGCTTTTGAAGTCAGTAGCTTGGTGTTATTGTGAGTGCTCTAAGTCACTCTCATTTTCTGAGTTTGGAGCTTTTGAGGTGAGCCATGACCACCTCTTTGCCATTTTGATGTTTAAAGCTTGTTTAATCGGTTAAAAAGAGAAACTTTAACCATTTGAGTAAAGGAGTGTGTTTATGAGTTCATAACATGTTAATGAACATCTGTTTAGGGAGTCATTGGGCTCCCAATCGCATTCCCTTAAAAATGGGATTATGCATACCTCTGTTCGTATTTCTGCATTCTGGTGAAAAAGTATTCGAATACTTTTCGTGTAGTATTCGAATACTTGTTCACTGGTAATCGAATACTCCTTGCTGGAGTATTATGATACTTTTCTGGGAAGAAAAATATCCGGATACCTTGAAGAAGTAGTCAAATACTGGGTAATATTCGAATACTGGGGTGTGGGTATTCAAATACTATGTGGTAATCGAATACTTCAGTGAAAGTAGTCGAATACTTTCTGGAGAGCAGGAGTATTCGAATACTCATCAAGGAGTATTCGAATACCTCCTGCAGAAACTGCCTAAAATAACTTAAAATGAGATGGAAAGCCTTGATCACTTAATGTAACCTGGAGTAATGGTTATTGATGATTATTTACTGTATGAACAGATTGTGATTGTGCTGTTTGTGGGCTTGAGCTAGTGTGAGCTCTTGGTTTGGACGTATTGCTTAAGAGGTAAGCTTTCGTTTTCTCGGTTTAGCCATTGTTGGTTCCACCATGTCCCATAGGGGGATGGTTTATATGCATGATGTTGTTTTCATGTATTGTTTTGATAAATGCGAGTGCCTTTATGATATGCATGTGGCGTTCCACCTATACGGTAAGCCTGAGTATGTGGAGACATACAAGATGGTGAGGCTGTAGGTGAGGTGCAAGCGGTGTTCCTTGTACTTATTGTGGGGTTGTAGACGTACATCCTGCATTTCTCTGGCCAGTAGAATAGTTAAAAAACACATGGCATGAATATCTGTTGCACTGCATAGTTTTGGAACTTATACTGTTAAATGCTTTTGAACTTATATTGCACATGTAAGTGAGCTTGGGGTGGAAGATCCTTGAGGACCCCTTGTCTTACTGAGATTTCTTTTTAGAGATCTCACCCCACGTTTGGGGCACATATTTCAGGTTCAGGTAATGCGGGGGTTGAGATCTCTAGCGGCAGGAAGCAGGAGCTTAGCTGATTATATGCTGTTATGCTGCTTATGTTGGATGCAGGATATTGACTGTTGCCTTTTATGCTTTTAGCTTCATGATGTTATTGTTGAGACTGCTGTGGGGCTTTGTTGCCTTATTTGGTGAGCATGGGGATTGTCCATGCCACATTGACTTGACTTTATGTTTAGCTGTTCTAGTTGTAATTAATAATGTATCAGGATATTGTCCGGACTACGTGTTGTAGATCTGTGACTTAGATACTCACGTCTATGTTATAAGGTATTTCAGTTAGTTGTTGGATTGCAATCACATACAGGCGATATTTTGTAATTGGATTTTAATAATCAACTTGGCTAAGTATAATGACGTCATAATTGAACAGAAAAAGTTATTCCACATTTTTATATTAAGCGTGGCTTAATACGATGACATGTTAACAAACCGGGTTAACACGAGGTGTTACATGGTGCATCATAAGACCTAATAGCTTTTAAAACAACAATTTAGCACCAACATCATCCACCTAATAATATACCAAAATTACAGTCGCAGCTAGGATGATTCAAGACGTGAGATAATCACAATTCATCTGCCTTTTATTATCAATTTTACATAAGAATCTTTACTTTTAGCACTTAGCATCTGAACAATTGAATATCTAAAAGTATTACGGAGCTTGTCATATTGTCCAGACAGAGTGCCTCGACATAGATCCGAAAGGTACACCCAAAAAGAATTGATGCCTTCCCACTTGGAAGGGTATTTAGAGCTTAAATAACAATTTTGAAAAAGATATAAATCTCAATATGAATTGGAAAAATTATATGTAGAACTTCTAATCTTCCATCGCCCTAATCAGTAAAATTTATTGATCTCGCTAATTAGAAGCGTGATAAAAGGTTTCAACACCAAAATACAGTGAAATGCATCATATGAAAAAAATAAATAAAAAATGGGATCTTTTACCATTCACGTTGCAACTTTTACCTCTTAATTTCCAGCATGAAATCAAGGGTGAACATGCTCAATCAGCCTGCAAATACCACAAATAAACATCAGTTCCTGGAAAAGTATGAAGTTCGAATGGCACGACCATTGAATTGACATTTAATAACCATGCGGAAGGATATTCATATTGCCAATTTTTTCTACTAGGTACCACTCAACTACCATTCTAACCACCATTGGATTAGAGAAAAAGTTGAATGAAGAGAAAGAAAAGAAAAATAACTTTGAATCTAATGGTGATTAGAATGGTAATGAGGTGGTAATTGAAAAAAGTGGTAATATGAATATGCTACCTCCCATAATATATCACTTTTATGTTGTGAAAATTCAATCATTTATAATTTCAAGATGCTTTTCCTTTATACTTCTCAGGAAGTTCTCATATGTAAGACAAGTGAAAAGGCTGCCATAGTATTGATGCAAAGAGTAAAAAGAAAGGTGGAACAGTAAGATTGCAAGAAATTTTAAATTTTATTTGAACTTCTGTCTAAACTTGGGCGTGTCAATTTAACAAAGTTTCCAAAACCATTTTCATAATTTGCACTTTCCTTATGAAGCAAGTAAGTAGTGTGATAGCAAGTCGATATCCATAAGCATTAAGTTGGTTGCCAGTTTTCTCTTCTCAATATTAACATATACACAACCTAAGCTTTATACAATTGTTACAACAGTTGGTGCCAAGGAAAGTATTACAATCAGAAAAGTAGATCACACTTGAGGGTTAAGGAGTCTGGTTTGCCCTTGAAAATGTTTCATATATATATTTTTTCTTTTTTATTGTCTCAAGCATAGGTTGTGAGCCAACCATTGGTTTTCTATTGAAAGTTTTCAAGAAAGGGGTATGCAAACAGGGTTACAACATTCACATGAAGCAATCACCACAATAATCCACCCTTACTTTAAAGTTTAGTCCTCTCTCCTGAAAGTTATGCTACTATCTCTATTTGAATGCCATATAATCTTTTTTTAAATAATATTTTCTCTTTCTTTTAACCTTGAAATCCCTATGTATTTTTTTTTTGGTTGGAATCTTGTTGATATCTTTATTATTATTATTTTTTAAATGTGAATCCTATCGTAATGTATTGTAAAACAAATAAATCTGATAAAGAAAAAGATGGGAAAAATGTTCATTTTAAACATTTATATATGGGGATTATACTTCTTCTGTAGGCAAGAGAAGAGCTCCATTTCCTGCAGAGATAGATGAATTGGGGTCCGCTAGCTTTTAAAAAATAAACAAATAAAATTTGTGGCACAAAAATCGAAAGTATGAGAAGACACTTCTCCTGTGAAAGTAGAAGTGTTTTTCACTTTATATATTTACAATAAGTGCATAAGAAAAATATATATTAATAATGTATATAAAATTAAATTTCTTAAAATACTCATGCAAGGCACAAATTACATGTTAGGTTTGTAAAAGTATAGAATTCAAAAAGAATTCAATTATCGTTCACAGGGAACGAGAAATTCAATTTCTTTTATTTATTCTTTTTCAATTTTCTTGAAGGTGAATGTGATTACTTGAAAAATGTAATTTCTAAAATGTAAACTAAACCAAGAATGATCAGAACATTTTCAAATGAGTAAGAATCAAGATTAAAACTCTAGAATTTTGATTTCAATGACTTTCCCTTAAAAATTGCATGTCTGCGTTTTAACTGTTGTAGCAATTATCTTAATGGAATTTTATTTTTTTAGAACTTAACTAAACTTTCCCAATTTTAATTCTGAAATTGATTCATACTAATCCCTTAATATTGAATCAATTAGTTATGACTTATAATCAAATTATTTCCCAGATTATTCCTAAACTTGGAATCTTGAATGAATGAAATTCATAAATTCAAATTTCCCAATACAAGTCCATGCAAGAATTGTTAAGCCCATTCCCATGGAACTCAAACCAAGAAAGTTTCACTAATCAAACATCAAGAACATGCGCAACAGTTTGAATCAATTAATGGGTACCTGTCATCTTCATCAGAATTCTAGAAAAAGAAATAAGCAATGCATGTTGAAGATTAAAGCAAGAATGTAAATTAACTTAATAAAAACCGTGTTCTTCATTCACAAAGATCAGAAATAGTCAGAGTTAAAAGTACAGACCAATTTGTTCTTCACAAATGAAATTGCTAAAACTACGAAAAGCTTAACCACAGTACGCAAATCCAAAAGCTGCACGCGGAAATCTCTCCTCTTGAATCCCTTCAAGAGTGATGTCCTTCCTTGTGCATGTATCTTGAAGAACTTACAAAGCTTAAACTCAGATTTGCAAAGAAAATTAAGTAAAAGCGCTCAAAAAATAAAATAAAATTAAAATTGACTAAACGAATTTTCTTCTCTTTTTTACAAAAAAAGACTCTGACTTAAACTAAAGCTCCAAGTGAATGTTGTCCATTTGATTACTCTAAAATCAATCAATGGTTCAAATTGTTCCACCTCAGCTCTTTTCTTCTACTAAACTGTTATCCTGTAATTAAATAGCAAAAGAATATCAGCATATTTACAAAATTGCCATTATCAGTCCAAATTCCATAGTGGACCTATTTTACACACCTTTTTGGCATTTTTACCTGCATTTTAATCTATTCAGCTCAGAAAATATAGGAGAATTACTACTAATTTAAGTAAAATTTAAGACTAACATTACACATTAGTTAAATTATAGTATACAAATATTGTAATATCAAGATAAATACATTCCTAATCAACAACGATGACATTGATTTCCAAATTTTCTTTTCGATACAAAATGGAACTTATACATATAGGGCTTGTTTGGTGGACAGAATAGGATATGGGTAGGATATGATATGGGGCTGATAAGGGCAGGATATGATATGGGGATGATAAGCCTATATCATGTCTTGTGTTTGATGAGCACCTGATTAGCAATCTGATAAGATTATATAGAAGGAGAAAGGAGAAAGAAAAAATAAAATATAATGCAATAAATATAAATATATTGGGTAGCGTGGGGATATATTGGATAGCGTGAGGATATATTAGGTAGTCAATATTGGTATCCTATCCTATTGAATCTTAACCCAGCTCCCCTCATAGGATAAGAAATCATGTATTGGATAGGATAAAATAAGACAATAGGATAAACTAATCATATCCTATTGACCCACCAAACAAGAGATAAAAGTAGGATATGATAAGTTATCCTATCCTATCTTCTTTATCAGGTGCTCCAAATAGGCTCATAAAGTTTTGACATAAAGCAAACATAGTGATTTACCTTCCCATTTTTTGGACCAAAAATTGCTTTGACTGACTCGAATACCTCTTCAATTGGCCTTGCAACATCAATCTAAGAAAGAAAAATTTATGCTTTGTCCTTAGAACAAGAGGCAACCAACAAACTTAACAAAAAGATGGTAGAAACACAACTACCAATTACCTTGCGAACTTTTTGCTTTGCATCATAATAATTAATCACAGGGAGACTAGACTGCAAGAAAACCTTGAATCGTTTCCTTATTGTTTCAATATTGTCATCTTCTCTTCCCTTTAAAATTGAAAAAAATATTAAGGGCAAAAAGCATAAGGAAACATATATATAATTTGATGGGCTTGAAATATGAGGGATAAATATAATAACAATATAGAGGTTGTTATAGAGAGAGAAAAGGAAGAGAGTTAGTTAGCTCTAGAATATCCTTAGGGGATAGGATAAAAGAAGGAGGAATGTGGGGAATGAGGGAGGCATGTATTCAATGAATATTGGCAATTTGAGGATCTCTTAGAGCCTAGGTTGTTGGTTCTAAGAGTGATGTCTTGTTCTTATATTAGTGTTCGTAAAAAGAAGCTACTTCAGTATTATAAAATAGGGTTCAATCATGATTTTTTGAGTAAATGAAAAAAAAACTCAACCTGGTTCCTATTAAGAAGTTGCCTCTCCATCTCTTTCTCAGGGCAATCAAAATATAGAACAAATGCTGGCTCTATTCCAGTCTGCAAAACCATAACGCATTTTGAAATTAATAGTATAATTATCTATACTTGAAATAACTAGAAATGAAAAAGTTCTATTTAATGAAAATAACAATTACCACATTCTCAAATGCTGCACGGTTTTCCTCATTGCGAGGAAAACCATCAATAAGAAATTTGTCATCTCCATTTTCCTGCATTGCTCGTTGCAAAAGCTTAATTGTTACCTCGGAGGGAACAATTTTTCCTTCTTTAATCATATTTTGAATCATTGTACTATCAAACATCATAAATGTAATGTGTAAATGCTAAAAGATATTGATAATTTAAACCCAATACATGATGGCAGACTAACATCAGTGCTAGTAGTTGAAATTGGAAAGGAAAACACAATAGCTAATATGAGAAAATACGAATAATTTCTACTAAGTACAATTGGTAAGCAATGTGAAAGAAAATACTAGATATAATTAGATATTCTCAAAACATGAATATCTAGCACCAATAATATGAGATAATCTGCATCTCTTGTGAGCATGAAAAAAGTAAAGCCAATTGAACATATATTTTGATATTATACACACTAGTCCTCCCAAATTGCCCCCGCAATATGATCAAAAGAAGTCAAAGCAAAACGTGAAATTTAAATCCAAATGCATACTAATGCATCCACACTAAGTTGAAATGAAAGAAATGAGTGTTTTTACAAAGGGTTTAGTGTGTGTCATTAAAAAGACACAAGTTGTGTCCTTTTATTGATTTATACATAGTATGACCGGTCATACTTTGTGTAAATTTAAAAAGTTACTTTTTTCACTTTACACATCAGCGCGATGTGACTGGGAAGAGAGAAAAAAACTTTTCAGATTTACACAAAGTATGACCCTGTCATATTTTCTGTAAAACACCTAAAAGACACAAACTTGTGTCCTTTAAAATGATACTTCTTTTTCCTTTTTACAAATATTGGTTCTTCTTTCAGAAAAAAGGGTTCAAGACAGGAGGGACAATAAACAGTCAGTACAACATGACTAAGATGAAGCATATAATCGTACCTATTTTCAGAACTAGATTTAACTTCTGCTCGCAGAAGATCACCGGCACTGAGGTGAGTATACCCAAAATGTTGCACAATGTTTGCACATTGAGTACCCTTTCCACTGCCTGGGCCACCTGTATCATTATCATATCAATATCAACTTAATTAGATTTCAGAAAAAGTCAATTCCAATAAACACATTGCAGACATAAATGGGTAAATAAATACACTCTCCAAAAGGAAAAGGAACATAAAAAGAAAATGATTGTGTTATATGGTAAATGACAAAAGCTAAGCCTTAAGTGAAATTAGTAATAGCTGGTAATTTATATAAATTACTACAATAAAAAAATAATAAATAATAAATAATAAAAAATCCGTGCCATGCTTAAAAAAGTTGGCAACAATAACGACGAAAGAAAGGTACTGCAGAGACAATGCAAGTTTCCCGTTATAATTATGGGAAATAATTTTCTTATGTTGTAGGAAAATAGTTATCTTATGTTTTAGAAATAAGATTGCAAGTGAAATCCATAAATAGGAGGAGAAAGAGAAAAGAAGTAAGACTCACCCATCTTTTGTGTATGTAGAAAATTTAGTTACATCATACAAAATGAAATAAATATAAGCCTAAAATTATTAAGTAAGTCAGATTATATGATTCTACTAAAGAATAAATATATTCAGTATTTTATTAGGATCTTGCTGGTAAGTACGACAGATCTTCCCAATAGACTTATTATTTATGAATACAACACGAGGAAGATATATAGAATTACAGCGGGCTAGGGTCATCTTGAACAATGTGAAACAAACTCAAAGTGCATCAGAATTTAATCGAAAGATTATTCAGAGGGAAGAATCGGAAGATGACAATGAATATCCTTGACTTGAATTCAATCAATCAGGGCTCACCTAACACAAAAATAACTGTAGATTTTTTCTCTAGAAGGCTTCCATTTCCATCCTACAATGAAGGTATATAAAAAAAAGGGAAAAAAGACTATCATTTAAAAGGATACAAGTTGTGTCATTTTAGATGATTTACACAAAGTATGACTGGTCATACTTTGTGTAAATCTGAAAAGCTATTTTTTTTCTCTCTTTAGTCACATCGCTGACGTGTAAAGTGAAAAAAAAGTAACTTTTCAGAATTTCACAGAGTATGACCTGTCATACTCTGTGTAAGTCACTAAAAGGACACAAGTTGTGTCCTTTTGAATGACACACACTAAATCCATATAAAACAGTTAATAATTATACTGCATGAAAGATGATATTGTCAATAAAATGACTCACAACAAAGTTTGAAGCTCATATTGATTGCTAAGAAAAAACTATATTTTGTTGGACATACAGCACTAACATATCGTACAGCTGTATGTATAACACATTTACCAGTGAAAGAAAAAATATATTTATTTTCAAAGTTCAAACCTTCAAATTCTGCATCGGCATGATTCTTGAGATACGTTGCAATGCTTGCTCAGGTATTTCTGCAAAGTTTGAAGCACTAAAATATTTTTATGCAATTCACAACTTTCGATATGGCAAATTATGGAGCGACTATTTACTAACTGTTATGGATATATTCATCATATCCTAACCACCTGCTCAAGAGATCATCAAAGGATAGATTCTCTATAGTCCTAACAATATTAAACAACAAGGATACTCAAGATAAGGACCTCATCCCAATAGAAAGGGGGAGGAATCCTAGTGCAATCTGGGAGATCTCAAAAGGCCCAAGCCTAGGAAGGTAATCCTTATAAATAAGAGCTTAAAGACCCCAGGTACACACTTTTAACCTATTTACTATTGCTGCCAACACTGTGCACACACCCACGTCTTGGCTATAAGCTTATTGCTTGTGCGCAGTGATTGGGACATCGACTATAAGCCAAGTATACATCTGGTTATACAGTATCTCTGAGGGCATACCATACGGTATAGCAATACGGTCTTTCCAGAACCGAACATTGGCGCCGTCTGTGGGAAAGATAAATTTTGACTCCCATTCCACGATGAAGAACACCCGTTCGACGTCTAGCACTGCTCAACTGCAGCCGCACCAGATTGCGCTGGAACATCTCCAGTCAGCAGTGTCTCTTGTGCTGGTGGAGGTTCAGGTCGGAGAGGTCGGCACGCAGGTGCCGCCCTTAAGAACCCAGACCAACGCGACGATGGAGACAGCGCGCCCACCTCCACAGAATGATCAGCCAGGAGATGTGACCCCTAGGGCCATGAATGCAATCCTTCAAAGGATGCAAGAGATGGAAAACAGATTCTTGGCTCAACAAAGGTTAGATGCCCAGAGGATGGAGGAATTGGAGGCTGAGATACGAAACCAAAACACCGAAGGCCGAGCTGGAGGGGCAGGTCAGGTCGAAATCGGCGGGCCGCAGCAACAGAACATGGTCACAACAACCGAGATTGTGCAGACTCTTTGTCATGGCAATCACCAAGAAGGCGGAGGACCAGTCAACAACCAATGAGATAATTATCTCCATGATGAGGAGGCAAATGATAGCCCATTCACTGAAAGGCTCATGAACTTGGCAATCCTGCCGAGATTCAAGAGTGCCAGGATACCTCCGTATGACAGAAGTCAAGACCCGGATGCCCACTTAGAGGCTTTTAAGACTGAGATGTTGTTCAACGGGATAACTGGACCTATTAAGGCCAGAGTCTTCGCGACGACATTGACAAGTCAGGCAATTGCATGGATAACCAGGCTTCCCCGGAACTTGATCGACTCGTTCGAAGACCTGGCTCGAACTTTCCGTCTGAATTTTGCAACAAGTAAGGCACATCCAATGTCGGCTTTTGAGTTGGGAAGAATCCGACAAAAGGAGAATGATTCATTGAGGAAATACCTCTATAGATTTAAAGATGCCGCCCTCAAGGTTCAGAACCTAACTTAGCCAGTACACCTGCATCTGATCATCTCAGGATTAGATGGTGATTCCTCACTCACAAAGTCAATCTACAAGAACCCGGTCAACGATCTGGAAGAGTTTCAACGTAGGTCAGACAAGTACATTGATGTCGAAGATATGCAGAAGGCTTATGTGGAGTCCAGAGGACGAAGTCCTAATTGCCGGAGCCCAAGTAAGAAAAATAAAGACCGGGATCAACATTGGTCAAAGAAAGGAAACGATTCCCATGACAAGAGATCGAACAGCTGATCTCCAAGGACCAAATATGACACTTACATACCATTAAACATGTCCAGATCTCGGATATAGAAAGAAGTGGCTCAGACTGAAATGCGCAACATCGAGAGACCTCGACCCCTCAAAAGCAAGAGCGGGCTAGACAAGAACAAATACTGTGCTTTCCATGATCAAAATGGTCACACCACGGATGACTGCTGGGACCTCCGAGATGCTATTGAGAAACATGTCAGAGAGGGGAAATTGAAGCAATACATTATCTGAACTCAGGTAAGAAAAATAGTAAGCGAAGGCAAAGAAGCCGGAGCAGAAGTCGTAGCCCGAAGTGAGAGGATAAGAAAGATCAGGAACAAAACCGCCCTTCGAAGGGCAAGAAGGTCGAAGATAAAGATGAGGAATTCCAAGAAGCTGAATTTGAGTGCAACGTGATAAGCGAAGCTTTGGGTGGAGGAGGCGACACAGCAAATGCAAGAAGAAATTACCTGAAGGAGGTCATGTCGGTAAGAGACAGGCCGACCTTCAAAGGGAAAGCCAGCAATCTCGCTCCCCAAGATTGTCCTTTACTCAAGAAGACCTAGAAATGGTCGTACCTGGACACACCGATGGTGTGGTGATCACCGAGGTGCTAGTTAACTGCCGGGTTAAAATAATCTTCATTAATCATGGAAGCTCGACGGACATACTCTTTTGGGACGCTTTCCAAAGGATGAACTTGGATGAAAAAGACTTGAAACCATGTGCCACTGAGTTGATTAGGTTCAACGGAGAGCCATCCCCTCCAAAGGGCTATATAGACTTGAAGCTGACCTTAGGAATGAAGGATGCATTTCGAGCTGGAAGGGTTCGGTTCGTCGTAGTAGACTCTTCTTATTCCTACAACGTGATCATTGGCCGACCTACAATCCACGACTGGGACATGTTAATCTCCACCAAACACCAGGCACTGAAGATGCCGGGGGCAAAGAACGAGGTCATCACCATAAGGGGAGATCAGAAAGAATCCAGGGAGTGCTACTACAAGACTCTAAGGGTCAATCACGGAGGCCCATCATCTCCCCTCGGCTCCAAAGTGGAGGTAAAACCTCCACTAGAGACCAGTCGGTATACCCATGTGGAAACGAGGTAAACTTGATCGAATTGGACATGAGGGAGGAGCTCCAAGCACCTCTTCCAGAACCCCAAGGAGAACTGGAAGACGTCAGTATTGGGGAGGACGGTAAAGTATACACCAAGGTGGGAAAGGCCCTTGAAGCTGAGACCAAAAAGGAGTTGGTCTCTTCTCTCAACGAGAACTCCGACGTGTTTGCATGGAGGGCGTCTAAGATCCCGGGAATAGACCCAACATTTTGCTGTCACAAGCTTTCCATGTACCCAGGGTCAAAACCAGTGTCCCAAAAGAAGATGAAGTTAGGTCCTGATCGACGTCAGGCCTTAAACGAGCACGTGGACGAGCTGTTAGAAGCTGGTTTCATTAGAGAAATACAATACACCACCTGGTTGTCCAACGTGGTGATGGTGAAGAAGCCTAGTGGGAAGTGGAGAATCTGCGTTGACTACACCAACCTCAATAAGGTTTGCCCGAAGGACTCGTACCCGATGCCAAACATTGACCAGCTAGTTGATAATTCATCAGGATTTCAATTACTATCATTCATGGATGCATATTCCGGGTATAACCAAATCCCATTACACCTAGATGACCATGAAAAGACCGCATTCATCTTAGAAAAGGGAAACTTTTGCTACAACGTCATGCCTTTCGGCCTCAAGAACGCCGGGGCGACCTACCAAAGAATGATGAACTGCGTCTTCCAAAACCAAATTGGAAGGAACCTGGAGGTGTACATTGACGACATGATCGTCAAATCGGCGCATATAACTACACATGTAGCCGACCTCAGAGAAACTTTCGAGCAACTGAGAGCTCGGAAAATCAGACTGAACCCGGAAAAATGCGCTTTCGGGGTACCCGCTGAAAAATTTCTGGGTTTCATGCTCACCAACAGGGGAATTGAGGTCAACTCTAACAAATGCAGGGCCCTCATTGAGATGAAGCAACCAGAAAGCAAGAAAGAAATTCAGCAGCTCACAGGTCGCCTTGCGACCTTAACCAGGCTCCTGCTTAAGTCGGCAGAAAAAGCCTTGCCTTTCTTCAAGCTCCCGAAAAAAGAGGCGGAGTTCAGATTAGGCGAAGACTGCAAAAGGGCATTCGAAGAAATAAAGAGTTGCTTAGCCGACCCACATGTGCTGTCGAAGCCAGAGCCCGGCAAAACGCTGATCCTATATCTTTCTGTATGAGAAGATGCTATTAGTGCAGCCTTGGTAAAAGAGACCGACAAGGGGCAGCAGCCGATATACTTCGTAGGTAGAACATTGCAAGGACCTGAGCTCTGATATCAGAAGCTGGAAAAGGTGGCATTCACCCTACTCACCACAGCAAGAAGGTTCCGACCTTACTTCCAAGGGCATCGAGTGGTCTTCAGAACCAACCATCCCATCAGACAAGTGCTACACAAGCCGGATCTAGCTGGAAGGATGATTAACTGGGCCGTTGAGCTCTCGGAGTTCGACATATCTTACGAGCCCCGGCAGGCAATCAAGTCTCAGGCCTTGGCCGACTTCGTCATAGAGCTCACCTCCCCTAAAGATAAAGAAAAAGAGAATGAAGACCTTTGGACGATATACGTCGACAGATCCTCAAACTCTAAGGGAAGCGGAGCCGGGGTGGTAATAGAGAGGCCGGAGGGAGTGCCCATCGATCATTCACTCTATTTGGCATTTCCGACCTCCAATAACTAAGTCGAGTATGAGGCCTTCATTGCAGGAATCATACAGGAAAAGGAGCACGGAGCAAGACAGATAAAAATCCTCAGTGATTCGCAGCTGGTAACTTCACAAATTGAAGGAAAGTATCAAGCTAAGGGGCCCCTCATAATGAAATACCTCCAACAAGTCAAAGAGATGTTGGTCGAGTTTGATGAGGTGGTGGTCCAGTACATACCTCGAAATGAGAATAGTAGAGCAGACATCTTGTCAAAGCTCGCAAGCTCGAAGGGATCAGGAAATCATCGTACAGTGATACAGCAAAGCATCCCAGAGCCGACCTGCGTCATGGTAATAACCTAGAATGAAGACTGGAGAAGGCCAATAGTGGCCTACTTGGAAAAAGGAGTCCTGCCTGACGAGGCCCAAGAGGCTAGAAAGCTCGTAAGAAACTCTGCCTGCTTCACTATAGTAGAAGGGCAGCTCTACAAAAGAGGTTTCTATACACCCATGCTGAAATGCCTAAATAAGAATGAAGCTGAATACGCCCTGGCCGAGATCCATGAAGGAATAAATGGGCATCACATGGGAGGAAAAGCTCTAGCCAGGAAGGCAATTAGGGCAGGGTACTACTGACCTACTATGGAGGCGGACGCGGAACAACACGTCAAAAGATGCGAACAATGTTAGAAGCACAAACCCATCCTTCGTGCACCTCATAAAGAGCTACAAACCATCACGGCACCCTGGCCATTCTACAAATGAGGGATGGACCTGTTGGGACCTTTCACCGCGGCTAAAGGACAACTCAAATGGTTGATAGTAGTGGTTGACTACTTCACCAAATAGATTAAGGCTGAACCCCTCACCACCATAACCTCGGCCAGGATTCAGAGATTCTTTTAAAGAAACCTGATCAGCCGATTTGGAATCCCTGCCGAGATCATTACAGACAATGGAACATAATTCACTGATAAGAAGTTCCAAGAGTTAATGGCCGACTTCAAGATCACACACCGGTTTGCCTCAGTGGAGCACCCTCAGACAAATGGACAAGTCGAGTCAGCTAACAAGGTGATCATTGTTGGATGGTTTGCTGTTGGTGGAAAAATATATATTTTGATGGAAGACGTTCCTCTATTCTAAATTAGCAAGAAAAAATATATTTGTTCCCTTAGTTCCAACCCAAGTGTACAAGTGCACGCATCAAGTAATAATGAGTGTATTAATGCCCAGATTATCGTTTCCACGAGGATAGAACTCTAAATAATGCCTTAAACTATTTTATAAAGAATAAAAATGAGAAGAAAAGTTAGTGATTGAACTGTCTGGTCAAATGTTCCCTACTGCCTTGACAACGTTCCTCAAGAACAGTAAGTTCAGTCTGATGGCAAACAACTCCTTGCGTCGTTATATATGTGATCCTTCTTGATGAGAGAAGGCACAACAATAGTCATTGGAGGTTGATAGATACAATAGTTGAATAGATTAAAAATAACATAGTGATAACTATACTCAAGAGACAACAAGGTGGATGGTTTTAAAACAATTTTAACACAAGGAACAGATTTACTGCTCCATTCTTAAATAATTATTTTCTCTGCTCAAGACTTAGCACTTTTTGGCTTTGTCTCAGTTTCTTAACTGCCAACTCTGATCCTCAGCTCATGGACTAGATGGCTCACAAGTTTCCATATTCCTATGGCTTCCTTGACTCCAACAGATACTTGGTACAGAATCTTAAAATGGACGAAGTGGCCCCTTATTCCTAAGGTAACCAATAGTGTCGTTGCCAAAACATTATCTTTCCCCACTGGCTAAGCTGTCTGAAATCCCTTCCTTAAGGAAGTTTCTTTCTCAGTATGTGTTCAATTTCCATTTATAGACAATGAATATAGCTTACTTAGCCAGAGAAATACAAAAAGCTTCAGTACAAGAGTTTTGAAAACAATTCTTTAAGAAATTTGCAGCTTATCCGTTCCACAGATAGTTTAGCCCATGGCTGTTACTTTAAACATAATTATTCTAAACTGAAGTTCCATAGACCCGAGATCCAGTTCAGAGATAACGAGTGGAAAGGAGAGAAGAAATACTTATATTGAAATGAAACAAGAAAGATTACAACAAAATATAAAGTGGAGAAGATGGTTGATGCTCGTGAGGAGTCTCAAGTGAATGTTATAGAATAAAGGAGAAGTGTTGCACTTAACTATAGCTACCACTATACAAAATTAAACTACGAATTAACTAAATACTACTAAGTGATCTCTTCTTAAGGAATTCGATCCCTTAGGAATTCGATGATGTCTTCGTGTTTGGGACGTCCTATTTATAGGCAGAAGAGTGAGTGGCAATCTTGTAAAATTCCTTGAAGTTGGTTTCTTGACTGTATGGACAGGACGGTGGCAACAGTGTTTGGAAGCTTGCAACTTGCTGGATGAGACAGTTTTTGTTGAGATTTGCCATTTCTTGCAATCTCCCATGTCTTGCTTTCTTCTAAGCCAATGAGAACTCTTTATTCCCTGCTGTACATGTTTCTTCATGCTTAATTGATGCATCGCCTCTGCTTTATGGAAACTTCATTTTACATTTCCTGCAAAGTGATCAGAAGTATTAAATGAATGGAGCAGGTGCAATAAATGCTCTCAATCCGTTTCCCTTTTAATATGTTTTCCAAAGGGTTACGTCATCATCCGTTCCACCACTGTGTTTTTGTCACAAAGATGTAAAACAAGTGATTTTCATGCTGAAGTTGCTCATCAAATGAGGGAACAAATGGTATTTTGCCATCAAAATGGGCTTAGATGGGAACGAATTTACGTCCCATCAAACACCCCAAAACTAAACTGTTGGATGTCCTCAAACAACTCAGAAATAATGATTTAGGCTACTCAATTTCAAAGAATAACTCAACATCAAAAACTTGAGCCAGTGAGCAATCATAATATATTCAAAAAATGAACTACTTTCCATAGGTGTCAAGTAGAAAGAATTTGTTCCAAGGTAAGTGAAGGTTGCTGATCTTCTGTCTCACTATCACTCAGGGCTTGGTGTTTCTCTGTCCATTCCTGGATGTGATTCTTCAGAACTTTCTTTTCTGCTGTTTTCCTATGAAGTGCAGATGTCTTCCCTTCCAAGGATATTTTGAGAGGAAGGTTTGTGAGGATGTGGAAGAATGGTGGTCATAATTATGGGGCCAAGGAACGTTCGTTTTTGTGCTTTTGAACTGGACTTTTCCTAGTTGAGGGAACACCTTGTCTTTTTGTACCTTTTTTTTAAGGAAGGTTTTCTGGTATCTTTTTTTGAATTCTTTTGAATGGCTATTCCCGTATTCTTTGTTTTCCTTCTTCTGTCCTTTTTGCTCATTTTGGATCTGTTCCTTGCCTTTTTTTGGTTGACTTGGTGACTTGTTGGTGATTATGGATGGAATGGAAGTGTTTGTTTGAATGAAAAGGAGTGAGTGTTTGGTTGGTTGATCCTTGTTAGTGAAATCCATATGTTCTTCAGCAATACTCACAACATAAAGGCAAGTTTAGAAGTTTCGTTGTGGTTACACCTCAGGAACGCTCTCATGAGTAAGTGTTTGGCCTTTTTCCGTTCCTTACCAGCTTTAGTTCACACAGATCAGCATCCCTCAAAAATCTGAAGATTAAATTCTCTTCATTTTTCCTATTTCAAGTACTCAAAGAAAGAATAAGAATGATTAATCATTGACTTTGTGTTTCATGTCATTGGCTATTCAAAATTGTACAGCCATAATACTATAACTGAAATGTGTGTACCAAGCAGTTTGAACAAAAAGATTTTTCATTTTTTTTATATGGGGATTGTGTGGTTAGTGAACCACCCCAAAACTACGTTCTTGGAACAGAATGTATGTTATTTGGACTTTGGAGTTGAACATCAGACGTTCCCTCCTTTTGGAAGCTATGTGATTAAAGTTAACTACCCCAAAACTTTGCTCTTTGTTAGAGAGCCACTGGGTTTCCTCCCAGTCAGTGCTTAGTTTAATGTCTTTAGCTAGACATGATACTTACCTTTCAGTTGGGCTCAGAAATAGGGTTACTCTCTTTTTTTTCATTGAAGGTTTCATCAGTGTATAGCTTCAACCTGTGCCTATTAACTTTGAAAGAACGGCCATGTTCAGATCCTTGAATCTCAAAAGCTCCATTTCCTGCATCATTTATAATTTTGTATGGCTCAGTCCATCTTGATTTGAGTTTTCCTGGGAACAGTCTGAGTCTGGAATTGAAGAGTAACACTTTTTGGCCAATTTTTAGATCTCTGTTCCTGATCCTTTTATCGTGCCACTTTTTCATCTTTTCTTTGTATAATTCGTGATTCTCATATGTGTTCCCTCTGAATTCTTCTAACTCTTCAAGTTGTAGCAGTCTCTTTTCTCCTGCTGCCTTCTCATCCATGTTGAGAGCATAAACTGCCCAGTACGCTTTGCGTTCTAGTTCGAGGGGAATGTGGCATGCTTTGCCAAATATTAATCTATATGGGGAACATCCCAAGGGTGTTCTGTATGCAGTTCTGTAAGCCCATAATGCTTCATCTAACTTGAGAGACAAGTATCTCCGAGAAGGGTTGACTACCTTCTCCAAAATCCTCTTAACCTCTCGGTTAGAGACTTCAATGAGACCACTGGTCTGTGTATGAGATAGGGTTGCAACCTTGTGTCTAACTCCATATTTTTCCAACAATCTCTCAAGTTGGCGGTTAATGAAATGTTTCCCACCATCGCTGATGAGACAGCGAGGGGTCCCATATCTGGTCAAAATGTTTTTCTTTAGAAATTTTATAACCACCTTAGCATCATTAGTGGGTAAAGCTACCGCTTCCACCCACTTGCTTACATAATCAACAACCATTAATATGAATTTGTTCCCACAAGAAGGAGGAAAAGGTCCCATAAAATCAATGCCCCAAACATCAAATAATTCAACTTCTAAATGGGATTGAGGGGCATTTCATTTTGTTTGGTTAAGTTACCTTCCCTTTGACATTTATCACATTGTTTAGCATATTGAAGTGCGTCTTTAAAAAGGGAACGCCAGTAAAAACCTGATTGAAGAACCTTGGATGCAGTCCTTATTCCACCCAAATGGCCTTCATACGGGGATGAATGGCAGTGTAGAAGGATTTGGAGTTGTTCCTCTTCTGGAACACATCTCCTTATCATCTGATCTGCGCATCTTTTGAATAATAATGGTTCATCCCAGAGATAGTTCCTGCAATCATGAAAAAATTTCTTCTTCTACATCCTGTTTGCCTTATATGGTTCCAGTCCTGCTGCAAGGAAGTTGGCTATATCAGCAAACCAAGGAACGTCCGTTTCTTTGTGATTTATGACAAATAATCGCTCGTCAGGGAACGTTTCCTTGATTGGTAGTCCCATTTTAATGTGTTCTAATCTGGACAGGTGATCTGCAATTTGATTTTCACATCCTTTTCTTTCTTTGATCTCCAGATTGAATTCTTGCAGCAGTAGGATCCATCTTATCAATCTTGGCTTTGTTTCTTTCTTGGTAAAAAGATACTTGAGAGCTGCATGGTCAGTATGAACAATAACTTTTGATCCTAAAATGTAAGGTCTGAACTTTTCACAGGCATATACTACAGCCAACAGCTTCTTTTCAGTGACTGTATAGTTCACCTGGGCTTCATTATTCAAAGTTTTGCTGTCATAGTATATGCTATGAAAGAGTTTGTCCTTCCTCTGGCCCAGAACTACCCCAATGGCTTGGTCACTTGCATCACACATTAATTCAAAGGGTACGTTCCAGTCTGGAGGCTGGATGACAGGTGTAGTAATAAGCTTGTTTTTGAAGGCTTCAAAAGCTTTCAGACAATCAGAGTTAAACTCAAATTTTATATCTTTTACTAACAAGTGGCATAAAGGTCTAGCTATCATGGAAAAATCTTTAATGAACCTTCTGTAGAAACCTGCATGCCCAAGAAATGATCTGAGTTTTGATATTAACCGGTGGTGACATCTTTGCTATTACTTCTACTTTGGCTTGATCCACTTCTAGCCCTTTTCTGGAAATTTTATGTCCCAAGACGATTCCTTCTTTCACCATGAAGTGGCATTTTTCCCAATTAAGCATCGGATTAGAGGAGAGACATATTTGGAGGACTTTCTCTAAGTTATCCAAGCAATGGTCATATGACGCTCCCAACACCGAGAAGTCATCCATGAAAACTTCTACTCCTTCACCTATCAGATCAGAAAAATAGAGAACATACACCTCTGGAACGTTGCTGGTGCATTACTTAACCCGAAAGGCATCCTTCTGAAAGCAAACATTCCGTATGGGCAAGTGAAGGTGGTTTTGTGTTGATCTTCTGGTGCTAGAGCAATTTGGTTATATCCAGAATAACCACCACTGGAGACATCTTTCTGCAGTACCTTCAATGATTTCATACCTGGATTCAAGAGTTCCTGTAAAAAATATCCTCCTACAGCAAAATCTAAATGTGATTGAGAAATATGGTCAAGTCCTTTATAAAAAGATTGTAATACTCCCCAACTCTCTACTCCATGGTTTGGACATTTTTTGATGTTGTCCTTGTATCTCTCCCAAGCTTCTTAGAGATTTTCTCCATAAAACATCTTGAAGTTAGAGAGCTCTGCTCTCACATCAGCTTGGCGAGACATAGGGAGAAATCTCTCTATAAACTTGTTGGAGAGTTCCTCCCACGAGTGTATTGATCCAGGGGTGAGAGTTTTCATCCATGTTTTTGCTTTTAGGCCCAAGGAGTGAGGAAATCACCTCATTCTCATACTTTCCTCTGTCACACCCTCAGCTCTAAAATTATCACAGATATCTTGAAATGTTGTGAGGTGTGTGTAAGGATCTTCTGCAGGGAGTCCATTGAAGACTCCAGCTTCTCTGATCATGTGAAACATGATGGGTTTCAGTTCAAAATTAGGTGCTACAAGAGGGAGGATTACTCCTCTCTCTGGTCTGTTCCTGAAAGAAGCAGCCAAAGTTCTAAAGTTTTGTTCCGGAGGAATATCTTCATTATTATTGTGATAAGCCATATTTCCACAAATTTCTTCCCTGAGGTTTCTTCTTCTGTGCAAGGTACATTCTGGTTCACGATCAAAGAGAAACTCAGGTATTTCAGTGGAGTGGTCAGAATCTGTTTCAGACTCTTGACTCATAAACCATAAAAACACAGGTTATATGAACAGCAGAATTAGTGACAAGAAAAATAAAGGAATATGAAATATACAGAGTATGTACTAAAAACAATAATAAGAACAAAATTTAGTGTTTCTATCCCCGACAACGGCGACAAAAACTTGTTGGATGGCTTGCTATTGGTGGAAAAATATATATTCTGATGGAGGACATTCCTCTATTCTAAATTAGCAAGAGAAAACAGATTTGTTCCCTTACTTCCAACTTAAGTGCGCAAGTTCACGCATCAACTAGTAATGGGTGTATTAATTCCCAGATTATTGTTCCCACGAGGATAGAACTCTAAATAATGCCTTAAACTATTTTATAAAGAAAGAAAATGAGAAAAGTTAGTAATTGAACTGTCTGGTCAAACGTTCCCTACTGCCTTGACAATGTTCCTCAAGAACAGTAAGTTCAGTCTGATGGCAAACAACTCCTCGCGTCGTTATATATGTGATCCTTCTTAATGAGAGAAGGCACGACAATAGTCATTGGAGGTTGATAGATACAATGGTTAAATAGATTAAAAATAACATAGTGATAACTACACTCAAGAGACAACAAGGTGGATGGTTTTAAAACAGTTTTAACACAATGAACGGATTTACTGCTCCGTTCTTAAATAGTTATTTTCTCTGCTCAAGAATTAGCACTTTTTGGCTTTGTCCCAGTTTCTTAACTGCCAACTCTGATTCCTCAGCTCATAGACTAGATGGCTTACAAGTTTCCATATTCCTATGGCTCCCTTGACTCCAACAGATACTTGGTACAGAACCTTAAAATGGACGAAGTGGCCCCTTATTCCTAAGGTAACCAATAGTGTCGTTGCCAAAACACTACCTTCCCCCACTGGCTAAGCTGTCTGAAATCCCTTCCTTAAGGAAGTTCTTTTCTAAGTATGTGTTCAATTTCCATTGATACACAATGAATATAACTTACTTAGCCAGAGAAATACAAAAAGCTTCAGTACAAGAGTTTTGAAAACAATTCTTTAAGAAATTTGCAGCTTATCCGTTCCACAGATAGTTTAGCCCATGGCTGTTACTTTAAACATAATTATTCTAAACTGAAGTTCCATAGACCCGAGATCCAGTTCAGAGATAACGAGTGGAAAGGAGAGAGGAAATACTTATATTCAAATGAAACAAGAAAGATTACAACAAAATATAAAGTGGAGAAGATGGTTGATGCTCGTGAGGAGTCTCAAGTGAATGTTACAGAATAAAGGAGAAGTGTTGTCACTTAACTATAGCTACATCTATACAAAATTAAACTACAAATTAACTAAATACTACTAAGTGATCTCTTCTTAAGGAATTCGATCCCTTAGGAATTCGATGATGTCTTCATGTTTGGGACGTCCTATTTATAGACAGAAGAGTGAGTGGCAATCTTGTAAAATTCCTTGGAGTTGGTTTCTTGACTGTATGGATGGGGCAGTGGCAACAGTGTTTGGAAGCTTGCAACTTGCTGGATGGGACAGTTTTTGTTGAGATTTGCCATTTCTTGCAATCCCCCATGTCTTGCTTTCTTCTCAGCCAATGAGAACTCTTTATTCCCTGATGTACATGTTTCTTCGTGCTTAATTGATGCATCGCCTCTGTTTTATGGAAACTTCATTTTACGTTTCCTGCAAAGTGATCAGAAGCATTAAATGAGTGGAGCAGGTGCAATAAATGCTCTCAATCCGTTCCCCTTTTAATATGTTTTCCAAAGGGTTACGTCATCATCCGTTCCCTCACTGTGTTTTTGTCACAAAGATGTAAAACAAGTGATTTTCATGCTGAAGTTGCTCATCAGATGAGGGAACAAATGGTATTTTGCCATCAAAATGAGCTTAGATGAGAACAAATTTACGTCTCATCAATCATCAACGGGCTCAAGAAAAGGCTGTTCGATGCTAAGGGAAATTGGGTGCAGCAACTACACCTCGTCTTATGAGGATACAGAACAACTGCCCAATCTGCCACAGAGGAAACTCCTTTCAAGCTGACATATGGGTGTGAGGCTATGATTCCCGCCAGTGGCGGACCCATGATATTTTTTTTTAGGTCTGCACAATTTTTTTATTTTTATTTTAAAGATCATAATCATGATTCAATTTTTGCTTCCACTTCAAAAGTAAAGCTTTGGTGAATCAACCAAAGTTTTAAGGAAATAATAGATAATGATAATTTAAAAAAAAAATAAACACCACAAAAGACATTTGTCAAATATAGTATAATTATAAGAGTTAATCAATCAAAAACCAACCTTTGTCGATGTCTATTTGATCCAAAGTTGGTCACTTTTGTTTCAAAAAAAAGGTGAAAAATTTCGTGAGATTCTCCTCCACTTGATGAAGATTGAATTTCAGGAATGTTGATGTTTTTTAAGATTTGGAGCTAATAAGGTTTATAAAAGAGAGAGAGAGAGAGAGAGAGAGAGAGAGAGAGAGAGAGACAAAGCAATGAGCTAGGGTTTAAGCTTTAAGCTTTTAATTATAGGGGTTGGTTGGGTTGGACATATTTTTTCCTTTTTCCTTTAATCTTTCTATTTTTTCTTTCTATATTTTTACTTGACTTGAAGCACTCATCTAATGTGAAAAAACAAATTTCCCAACTTTGTGTCTGCAAGTGCAGACACTTGCACTATGGTGCGTCCGCCGTTGATTCCAGTAGAGATCGAAGAATCGTCCT